TTGTTAAGGATGACGAAGAAGACGGTGTGGGAATAGCGGAATTCGCACGGCAAGGCAGGCCGGTGGTTGAGATCGGGACAGTGATTTTCGCGGAGGTTTTAGGGAGGACGTTGAGTGGAAGGCCTCTGCTTTCTTCAAGACGCTACTTCCGGAGAATCGCTTGGCACCGAGTGAGGCAGGTTCTTTTTCTTGTTCCTTGATTGCAAAGCCTGTTTCTTGGTTTGAAAAGTGTTAAGGAGATTTAGTGAAGAGTGAATTGTTCTGTGGCAGATCAAGCAACTTAATGAGCCTATTGAAGTTAAGATAACAGAGTGGAATACAGGAGGGCTTCTCACCCGCATTGAGGTACACGGGTTTTAGGGCTTTCACATGTTGCTTAGGCTCCATGTCTTTAACTTGATAATTAATAGCTTGTTGTTGGTTTAATTTTTAGGGTTTGAGAGCTTTTATTCCAAAGCAGGAACTGGTGAAGAAAGTGAACAGTTTCACCGAGTTGAAGGAAAACGTAAAGCAAGCGTTTCTTCTTCTTCTTCTTTTCTGCTTTGGAATTACAGTTTTTAGCTTCACAGTTATGCGTTTGCTCAAGCTTTTTCATGCTACAGGTGGGTCGTAGACTAGCTGTACAGATTACGCGGTTGAACGAAGACAAAAACGACTTGATACTGAGTGAAAAAACAGCCTGGGTTGGTTTTCACTTTTTTCTCTCGACTGTATTGCCTTAACAGTGTAAGCAACGGTGAGAGACTAATGACAATATCGGATAATGTCTCAGGAGAAGCTGTACCTTCGAGAAGGAACACTCTTAGAAGGAACAGTTGCCAAAATCTTACCATATGGAGCTCAAGTCAAACTCGGGGATAGTAGTAGAAGGTTATATAGTTAATAGTCTTTTGCTTCCATACATTGGGTTTTCTTCCTAGCGACTACTAGTTTTTGAATTCATTTCCTTCGCCGACAAATGTTTCTACAGTGGACTGCTACACATTTCAAACATAACTCGCAGAAGAATTGGATCGGTGAGCGATGTGCTTGAGGTGGACGAAAGCTTAAAGGTTCTGGTTGTGAAATCTCTATTTCCAGACAAGATCTCTCTCAGGTAAAATCCTTATATAGAAGCGGCAAAATTCCAAAACTCAACAAGTAAAACCTCCTTCTCTTCTATTGTTGTTTTTTTTCTTTCTACAGCATTGCAGATCTTGAAAGCGAACCGGGCTTGTTTATCACAAACAAAGAGGTACAACTTGCATTGACAGTGTTCTTTTATATGGACTTAGCTTGATCTCTTATATTACAAAAAACACACCATTCATGTCCCTACACTGTGCTTTTGCCGATGCAGAAAGTGTTTATGGAGGCTGAAGAGATGGCAAAGAAGTATAGAGAAAAGATGCCTTCGTTGCCTACAAGCGAGAATCCTGATCGTCCTCCGATCACAAGCAGTTTCCCTCAAGGAAAGGATGAAGAAATCTATGCTAACTGGGACTGGTTCATGTTTGAGAGTCAGTGACAATATCACAATGACTTCCTGTTACTGTATTTGAATTTTTGGGATCGTATGTTATTATGAGTAAATGATTTTGTTCCTTCTTCCTCAAAAAGCTTGTTTTTTTTTTCTTTACAGAAGATACGCAAGACGAAGCAGAACTCGAAACTTAGAATAAACTCTATTCCAGAGTACAAATACATATCTCTTTAGTCACAGAAAGAACGCTGTAAATTTATTGAAGCACACACAGATGATAAAACAATGGCTCGATAATCCAAATTGTATTCGGTGAAGAAGATGAAATTTTCTGCTAACCTCCTCGTTCTCCAAAGAATCAACATCATCAATTATATTATTCGTTCAGCTGCTGAAGCTCAGCTTTTAGCTGTTCGATCTTTAGCCCCATGGATCGCTGCAGGGACGCTCTCTCTTTCTCCGTTACGTTCCCGAGCAAACCATTGAACATCTCCAACACATCGGCCACGGCGGCTCTAGCGCACTCCGCCTCCTCGTTGAAGTAAACCGTCTCTTTCGCATCCATCGCCATTTCGATCTCCTCACGCGCCTCAGCGAACTTTAGATTGATCTCGTCCACCACCTTGTTCACATCGGGAGGTGAGCCGCCGCTAGAGTCGCTGCCGAATCTTCTCCGATTCTCGTGCGAGAATATGGATGAAGCGTTTGAAATCCTGAATATTCGCGAAGATGCTTCTGAGAGATTGGACATCGAATAGGGAGACGGTGACGGAGGTCCAATATTACCGGAGACACCGCCGAGCGAGTTTATGGGAATCGGAGAAGAGGCAATGCTTAGATTCTGAGGAATTCGGAGAGACTTTCTGGTGAATAAATTTCGGAGAGCAATTGCTGAATGAAGACGCATGGTTTCCGCCGGTTAGGTTTCTCCGAGATTCAGTAAGGCGGCGGCGCAGATGAGTAATTTGTTCAAAACTTTTGCTTACAAGGAGGAGGCGGAGGAAGAGATGTTGTCGGCCTAATGGGCCTCACATTAGGCCCAGAATGAGGTCCATAATGGCTCGGGTTGAACAAAAGTCAAAAGAAGACAGGTGAAGGTCAAACTATTAACCAAACCACAGAAGCACCTGAACCAGAGCTTCTCACTGACCCCTCAAATGGCGAACCACTCCATTTCCATTTCCATTTCCATTTCCCTACATAAACCCCTTGAGCTCAAAGACACCGAAACCACATCAATGGCTCGCATTATTGATCCACCATCTAAAACGCAGCCGCATACAGTTTTTCAAATGGGTTTAGCCGCAGCAAACCGCCTTCTGGATGGACTTTCAGTGTTTTCTTCTCACTCGAAGAGGAAGCTTCGTCGTTGGACTGCTTGTTATGGCTCTCGAGATCATGAACCAGTTATACATCTCCAAAATGATATGACCATGATGATGATGAACAGTGGTGGCGTGTATGAGCCATACAATGGGGAACCGAGCATGCTTCTGAGTGGGGAACAGAGACGAGGTCCGTTGTGGCAGAAAAACATTCTCATGGGTGGAAAGTGCCAGCTTCCAGATTTCTCCGGTGTTATATTGTATGATTCCGATGGGCTCGTTGTTCCTCCGGCCAAGAACTCTCTTCCTCTGCTTACCTGGAAGTAAAAGAGAAAGAAAGAACATAGATTTCGAAGAAAGTCTAAGCCTTAGTTTACTACTACCCAGCTTTCTGTTTCGTTGTAAGAGGTTTGAAACTCATTTGTTTGTGTACCTATTTCTTGGAATATGATATATGGTTTCTGTATGTAAGGGATTTATGGAAGTATGTATTGTTTGAAGTTGAAAAGATTCATAATAACATATCACATCTACATGCATCAGCTTTTGCATCAGAATCATTGTCAAAGTGTAGTATAACTTTGGTTCTACTTCTTAACAATATAGGGGCAAGTCACAAAATATCTCATGATTGCCCAGTAATTTTTTAATTTATGAACTGACTTGAGCTCATGTAATATTCAGGCTTCAATACGCCAATGTAAGATAGGTTGCGGTACTGCTCTGCAAAGTCCATGCCATAGCCCACGACAAACTCATCTGGACACTGCACAGATTAAGAAGATATGTGCACATGTTCAACAATCAAAAGAATGCAATAAAATATTCTTAAGTCAGTCTAGTTCCTTACAAAACATACTTGTGTTTATCATGATTTAGACAAGCATAGGCATAACACTGCAACAACCGAGCAAAGAAGATCGAAAAAGTATCATGCTACTACGATATCTCCTATTCCGTAAAAGAAGATCAAATAACCATAATATTGAATATCCAGACTCTAAATATAGCTGGATATTTTAGTTTAAGGTGGCTTAAGCATTGATGGAAGAGAAAGTCTCGATTTTTTTATAATACTGAAACTCCAAAGCCCTTAGACACCAATAATGATATACAAATTTGAACGGAGAGAGAGAGAAGTAGCAGCTTACTTCAAAACCACTGTAGAACTTGCCGTTTCCGACCAGCTTAAAATGAACTTTTCTTCTTGATGGCTTGTCGAGTAAAGTGCAGACTGAAACAGATGACGCCTTTTTCAGTTTCAGGTGCTCGACTAGGCAGTTAAGTGTATTGCCAGTATCCACAATATCCTCCACCTTTAACAAAACACATACAAGACATCATCAAAAATGTGAAAACATCAAGTCTTCTCCTGTCTAATATGTTTGATCACATTACATTCGGGCGAATCACTATGTTCTTGAAACGTAATTAAGTACCAAAGAAAGACTTGGTTTTTAGTAACCACCACACACCAATTTCAGGCTGTATAGATTCAAACTATCCATAAACTCAATTGCTAAACGAAACCGGAAAACAGAACATATATTTACAAAAATCCAGATACATCATGCATTCATTAGATGAAGCGGACAGAGATTACCAAGATAACGTGCTTGTTCGTGATGTCAAGCTTTAAGTCAAATGAAATCCTTGGAGTTCCACTGGAGACTGTACCAGAGCCGTAGGAATCAGCTCTGATGAAATCGATAGCGACGGGCAGGTCGATTCGCCTGACGAGATCGGCCAAGAAGAGGCAAGCACCGGTGGCTACGCCGACGAAGACAGGCGACTCCGAGTCGCCGGAGAATTCAGAGGTAATCTCGGCTCCAAGTTGACCCACGCGCTCCGCGATTACTTCGGCGCTAAAAAGCACTTTCTCTATGTGCTTCTCTAGCGACATCATTTTTACCTCTCCACCACGAACTTCTTCAGGATTTGGGTTTTTATTAGGGCTTAATATTAATCGCGACTGTAAAAAAAACGCGGGAATTTAACCAAAGCTAACCGAAACATTTAACCAAACCGGTACACAATAATCTGTAATTGCCAATTTTTTTTATATTTTATCAAATTGGCGCTTTAACCATCGAGAGAACGAAATTGAAATTCATTTGAAACACAAAATCGAAATCCCTAGAGAGAGAGAGAGAGAGAGAGAGAGAGAGAGAGAGAGAGAGAGAGAGCAGAAGAAAGGGAGGAGAAGAAGGAAAATGCCGAATATTCTCTTCGTCGCTCTCCAATGTTTCGAATGCTCAACGATGCAGGTCAAACTCACTCCCTCTTTCTCATTTTTCCTCTGTCGATTTGTGCGTATGAGTTCGGATTTTTATACTCTTAGGGATTTTTCTTCTCCTGGGGATCGCAGGTGAAGCAGAAGAAGAAAAGCAGCAACAAGTGGGTTTGTGTGATTTGCAATCAGAAGCAATCGGTACGGAAAGTGTTCGCTCAGGGTTACAAGGCTAAGGAGCTTCGTTTCTTCGTTCAGTCATTTAACATGTCCCGGAAAGTTGCCGATGAAAAGGAACAGACCGTCGCAGATACATATTCGGAGTTTGACGACGAAGGAGAAGTTGATGAGAAAGTTCCAGATGTTCGCGGAAAGAAGAGATCTGATTGGAGTGAGTATCTCGATTCCGATTCACATAATGATCGGCGAAGTTTAATTGGAGAGGAAGACGGCGAAGAAGGTACCACTTCTATATCGTGAAACTCGTTCGCTTTACTTGAAATTTTGGTTTAGGTTTTGGTATGTTCAGAGATTTATTTCACAATTTCGTTTCAGATCTGAAGATTGTGACTGAGATGCCGAACGATATGTTTAAAAGGCCTAAACTGAACAAACACTCTCCTGCTACTGCATCATCATCGGTCACAGGGAACGGTGAAAGAAGCGGTGATGAGCTCTTCAAGACTGCCTTCTCCGGACGCAGCATCAAAAAGTCAGATTTTCGTTTAGGTGAGAGAGAAACTTTGCTATTCTCGTTTTCGCGTTATGATGCATTTTCTGATTTCATTTCATATCCGTCGAGCCACATCTGTAGAATTTAGTGTAAATGAGGCTGCTTTGTACGTTACCTATTGCCATTCACAGACATTTTTTTCTGGTTAAAGGTGTAAATAGTATGTTGCTACTAATATTTTCTTCTCTTGTCGTAACTACTTAACTTTAAATGTGCAGATGGAGTAATGCCGAAAAAGAAGGGTACAGACGAAAGAAGTCTAGAGTCAGGACGATTTACTAAGCCGGCTTCGAAGTGGGACTCTTACTTGATAGATGAAGATGATCATCACGCCTTGAAGGATGATGCTGTTTGCGAATGGGACAGAGCAATTATGGAGATAAGTTCGAGACATCAGATAGTTGACGACGAGGTACATCCAGATTTTATATGATAACGATTGTTTTACGTTTAAGGCTGCAGATTGTTAAAGATGTGTGTACGAGTAATAACTTGCGAATTAATAGAGGAAGGTGCAGAAAGAGTTAATTTAATAGATAAAACTCAAAACCAAGCTAGATAAAGTGCTAAGAGTTGTAGTCTCAGAAAGCTAGAAAACTGCTAAAAGTAGAAACCTGAAACAAACTAACGTTGCAAAGGAGAAATTAAAACTAGTTAAAGAGATCCTAAGAAGGTTTAAACTTTAACGGAACTGTCTAAGAAAGCCATAACGAAATTTTGTCTTGAGTAAAGAAGCGATCGGGTTCACTCGGTTGGGGTGAGACCGAACTGTTCATCAACGGAAGACACAGCTGGGGGATTAGCAGAAAGTCTGAGAACATCCAACGCCTCAGAGACTTTGGCCTTGAGAGCTTCAGGTGACTCAAGAAGGTGCAAGATCTCGGCTTGGTCCATCTCCAGCAACATACCGGTCACTTTAGCCGCATGAACTGGCTCCTGCTGGTCCACAAGTGGGTAAAGCTGCTCCCCAAGCATCTATCATCATTTCACATTTCCCCTTAGTTTAGCTATTACATAAAAACGAGATTAATCTAATGAGATAAGAGAATCACAAGAGACAAAAACCTGTGGGTGATTGGCGGGGTTAGCCAGAGCCAAGGCAGAAGTAAGCTTAGAAATGGGGAGGAGTGGAGGCTTCTGTGGGTGTTGAGAAGCATTGTGAGAGATCGCAGATGCATCCAATGGCAAAGGCATGATGCCTTGTGGAGCAGCTGCTTCAATTCCATTCCTTCTGTTGCCCGCACCGCCCATGTATCTCATCCCCGAGCTTGCGTTTTGCTGCATAAACTGCAAGGTTCAACAAAACAACAACAATCCCCAACAAAGTTGAAGATAAGATGCTAATAACCATGAAGCTGATAAAAGATAAAAAAAGGTTCCTATACTTGTTGTTGTTGGAACTGCTGCTGCATGTTAGCAGCACCTCGCCTAAACCCAACGCGAGGACCAGGTTGGTTTTGCCTTTGAAGAGGGTATTGCATCATGAAGTTGGCCGGGCCCGAACCTGGACGCACGCCTGGCATGAACTGAAATTGGTACCCGTACCCCATGGGCTGTGACGGCACCATACCTTGACCGTTCTGGCCCATGTACATTGGATGGGGTGGTCCTGCCATTGGACCTCCAGGTGGGTGATGATGGAACCCAGGCATTGGAGCTTGCATAGGGGACATTGTGCCGTTTGGCCTCATGTGAGAAAATAGAGTCTGTAACAAGTGAAAACATAAAGAGAGTTTGGATATCAATGTCACTAACAAAGATGGAAATAAAATCAAATTCAGAGAGAGGGGTAAGAACCTGAAGGTGGTTACGTCTCTCTTCCTTACGTTGAGCCAAAGCAATGTAAAGAGGTTTCCTTCCTATCATTTTCCCATTCATTTCATTCAGCTGCATAAAATCATCGTCCCCATAGAAAATTTCAGTATGATTGACATGTGTGTATGCTTGTGAAGATGTAGAAAGGTTGTAAATTAAGTTAAAACTTACAGCTCTTAGAGCTTCTTCAGGGTTGGAATACGCAACAAAACCAAACCCTCTGCTCAAACCTTGAGAATTAATCATGACCTAAACATGACCACAAACGAAACATGTTAGTACCATGTAAATGTACCATCATCTTAATGTCACGTTACAACACATGGTTTTTAAATAATGAACAAACCTTGCAGGAGGTCACATTCCCATACTCAGAAAACATCTCCTTGAGCTTCTCATCATTCACACTATCATCAAGATTTTTCAGATACAAGTTTGATCCTTGCAGTTTCTCAAACCGGCTTATCCTCTCTTGCTCAAACTTTCTCCTCAGTTCCTCTTCCCTCTCAGACTTCTTCTGAGCCCTCCCAACGTACAACACATCCTCCCCAAGGCTGATACCGTTCATCTTCTCAACCGCAACCGCAGCAGCTTCAGGGCTCTCGAAGTTCACGAACCCGAAACACCTCGAGTTCCCACTCTGGTCCTTCATCACAACGGCACTAGAGATATCACCATACTTCCCAAACGTCTTCTTCAGCTCATCATCAGAAATCTCCTTGGGGAGATTCTTCACATAAACGTTGGTGAATCGCGGGACCGCACCGCTCTCGCCGCGAGACCTGTCCTGACGGCGGACAAAGTGGCCCACAAAGACTTGCTTGTCGTTAAGAAGCATTCCATTGAGCTTGTCAATAGCAGCCTGAGCGGTTTCCTCTTTCTCAAACTGGACAAAGCCGTACCCTTTAGACCTTCCCGCAACGTCCATGGCGACCTTGCAAGAGAGAATGGTCCCGAAACTCGAGAACGTATCAAACAGGGCCTTGTTATCGATCGAAGCGTCGAGGTTTTTGATGAAAACGTTGCCTTTACCGCTCAGTCTAGTGCTCGGATCACGGTTCGAGAGCATGATCCTTATAGGTCTCTCTCTGATCGGGGTGTAGTTGAGGCTATCCATCGCTCGCAACGCTGATCAAGTAAAAAAAAAATCACAACTTTAAGAACAAAGAGACGATACACAGTTTCACGAAACAATTTTTTTAATGGATCATCCATAATAATAATATTTAATTAGAAAAATTTCGAGTCTACATACCATCGTCAGGGTTAGCGAAATTGACGTAAGCGTAACCAAGAGATCGGCGAGTCAAGTCACGACAAACCCTAACAGTCTGAACTTGAGCCACTTGGTTGAACAGATCCAACAGGTGAGCCTCATTGACGGTTTGGTCGAGATCTCCGACGTAGAGAGACGAGTTAGGGTGCGCTTGCAACGCCTCCGCAGCCGCAGCCGCTGCAGCCACGGCGGCTACCTGAGACACAGCAGGGAACGGAGCCGAATGAGGAGGCGCAACCGTAACCGCAGGTTGATTAGGAACTTGATCAACCATAGCCGTCGGCGCAATTCCAGATGCAACCGCCGCCGCCATGACGCTGATTTCTAGGTTAATTTTTTTGCGTGAGTGCGAGACAGAGAGATTCTGTTTGTGTGTTTTCCAAAATTTTAAGTCTTGTGCAAAATTTTTGGGGGAGATTTTTTTATTAGATATTTGATTTTTTTTTCCTTTTTTAGGTTACTCCGGAGAATCGACGAGAGGAGTAAATAAGAGTTGAGGAAAGTGTTGTGGGTATTTATACTTTCGCTAACGAATCGGTCCCTACGGATCGGAAGTTCCGTCTGATGTGTCTTTTCAGATTTTGACCGAGTTTTACGTGGACCTTGTGGGCCCATCATGGGCTTTTTTTGTTCTGCCCGATGTTAAAACTGAGCAAACGACGTACATGCGAATGCCACGTGTTTCCTGTTTGGTATCAGTTTTTTTTTCTTTTTTTAATTGTCGCCGTTTTTTGTGCATCTTTAAAGAATCGGTAATAACGTGAGAGAATTCATTTAACCAAATCAAATTATTTCCTACTTTTGTGTTTCCTATGATTTGACCACTCTATTATATACGCGGACAAAGTCTTGATATCATGTACGAAAATTTAGGTCAAATTCTACACTAAGTTTAGGATCTATCATTTGTAAAGAAAAAAACTTTTTTAATTTCAATATTAGTGACGTGAGTTATAATAACTTTTTTCCTAACGTACAATGTGGATACACATCTGACATCCCAACCAAATATTGAACAAATTCATAGAATGCTATTATTAACTTCCGATTTTAATATTTGATGTTAGATGTATTTAACTAGGATCCTGATACAAGGCAAAGGATAATTGTCAATATAAACAGGAATTAAACTTCATATAAACAGGAATTAAACTTTCTCTTTTTTGGTTTTGTGGTCAATTCGTTAAACTTTTATTCAAGGCAAAGGACATATAAACAGGGATTAAACGCGATAATGCAGTGTTACATAAAGAACCTGCAGCACTGTTTGCACAACCTAAAACTTTATCTTATATGTTTTGAATAAAGCTTCATGAGTTATGTTCTTAGTATTTTACTAAATCTCAAATGAGTATGAATATACTTTTTTTTAGATTTCTCATACACATGAAAAAGCACAAAAACTAAAAATTTCAACAAGATGCAAATGGAGAAAATGCTTGCTCTCTCTTGGTTCTGAAAGCAAAAGTGATTTGGCGCATCAAAGGCTTATCAAAGACAAAGAGTGTTTACCAACGAAGGGGGTTCTCGTTGGGTTAAGACAGGAAAACCTCTATATATATGGTCGATGAAAGACTACAATTTTTCGACCACATTTCCAAAGCGACACGAGTGTTAGGGTCTGTGATTATCACCAGCCATACTTCCTGAAGAAGTCTCTGGTTCTCTTCCTCGCTCGGGTGAATACTATTACTATGCACGCAAGCACCCACGGAGGAAAGTTCCCCATGGAGATGTTGTTCTTGATCCACGCTGGAGGGTCTTTCAATAGAAACGTTATCAACACCATAACAATCACGACTCCGAGCACGATCCTTGTGATGGGTTTTATCAGTGAATCCTGAAATATACAAGAAGTGATGTCATTAGCTGAATCACCAAGTTCATTGCAACTTATTGGAACTTTTTTTTCGTTCTTATAACATTAGTATCTAAAGATATTTTTTACTTCAACGAATCCAGAGTAATGTCATCCTTACTAGTTTCTACATGCGTCTTCTTTACTTTCAGCAAGAACTGAATATTTTACCTAAAGTTAAGGTTCTATGAGACACCGAGTCCATGTGAATTGAAATTCTAAAGCAATTTGCAGAGTCAAACCTATCCAACAGAGGCAGAGGTTATCTCACATAACACTGTGAAGCATTACACTTGCAACACTCTTTATCGTAATATGGTTCACAAGATATAATCTACATTACTATGCAGAGATAACAAAATTCACCAGAAATTTCAAACATTTTATTCAAGAGGAACTACAACAGGAGCTAAGATAAGCTAAGGAGATCGTTTCTCTTTCCTTTTTCCTCTAGCGGAAGTCAAAACTCAAAAAATCGAAACAATCAGAAGATTCAAAGGCAGGAGAGATAGATAACCTGAGGTTCACCGTCGATGAAAATGACGGCGCCGTCCCTGTAAGGCAGCACAGACCGGCCGTTTCTAGGGTGAAACCGGATCGGTACGGCGCGGCCTTTCTCGACGTTGAAAGCGAAGAGGGACTTTAATCCATATTTCTCAAGGATAGATCGAACCTCGAGCTGATCCTGCTCCCACCCGCCGAGATTCGACTTGAACACATCGATCGGACCTTTTCCACACCGATACAGATGGATCTCCACCTCCGGCACCTTTGTCGTCGCTGTCCTCGACCTTAATTCACCGTCGGGTTGTGAATCGTCGAGCAACGGAGTAGTCTCTTCAATCTCTTGCTGTAGATCTCTCTCCTCCTCGTTCTCCGGTATCGCTTCGATTGACATGACTAGCAAACGATCCGCCGGTCCGATGAAAGCTTTTTTTCTTCTTATGATCAAAAAGAAAGCTTAGACAAAATATTATTCAGTTCACTTCGACGCCGTTTTGGGATCACTAAAATGGCTTTGGGCCTTATAATGGGCCGGAAGGGTTATAAGAGGATAAAGACGGTCCATTAAACATTTGGTTATATGGTTACCATCAGTTGTCTCCTCCGGTCGTCTTCGTTTTCTCATCCATCGGAGAGAAGTTTTCCCCCGGCGACAGAGGTTGAAAAATGGAAGCAGCTTTGGGACTTCTCAGAAGAATGCCGCCGAAGCAGTCGGAAACGGCTCTCTCGGCACTTCTCAGCCTCTTGCCTCAACATTCTTCCGATCTCCTCTCTCAAGTCGATCTCCCTCTCCAGGTATATCTCTTTGTCGAGATTTGAAATGTGATTACTTTTTGCCTGAGTGGTGTTTGTATTCACTTGTTCCCTGTGTGGTTTAGGCATTGGTTATGTGGTTTATCTGGTTTGATCTAATTCAGTTGCTTCGTAGTTAATCGATAGGATGCTTAAGTCGATTCCAATTGTCTCTTGTGTCGTCTTTGATCACGGAGAATAGTATCCATGTACTGCAACAGGTGTTACGTGATGCTGAAAGTAGGAAAGATTTCATCTTGTGTGAGTACAACAGAGATGCAGATTCCTACAGGTACTTTTTGCTCTCTCTCTTTTTGTAGAGAAGATACTTTTACTTCTTGTTCATAGCTAAATTGCTTCTTTTTTGTTTACTTTTACTTCTTGTTCATAGCTAAATTGCTTCTTTTTTGTTCTTCTGATCTTTATAGGTCACCCTGGTCGAATAAGTACCATCCTCCGCTAGAGGATGCTCTTTACCCGTCGTCAGAATTAAGAAAGCTCGAAGTTGAAGCCAACGAAATCTTTGCGATCTACCGTGACCAGTGAGGTTCTTCACCTACCTCGTTTAACTTGAAAACACTGTAGCGAAACTTATTTGATTAAGCGATTGAGTTATCTAAAACGTAGGCATATATAGTTCGTCAGCATCTGATCTGCAGAAGGCTTTCTTACTCGTTCTAAAGATTGTGATTCACTCTTTTCTTTTAAAACACATTTTCAAGATTAATCTAATATCGCATGTTTTAAACATAGGGATGTATATATGATATGTGGTGTTTGATGCTTTTAACGTCTGCACAGCTTCTCTGGATTATAGTGATGCCTGTTTGATCTTTTAACTCAGAGAAAGTATCTATGAGATCAGAGACTGTAAAAACTTTGCAAATTTATGAAACGCTATACCTGTTTTGATTATTTTATTTCCAGGTATTATGAAGGTGGTATATCCTCAGTGTACATGTGGGAGGATGATAATGAAGGCTTTGTGGCATGTTTCCTTATTAAGAAAGGTATTAACTTTCTGTGGAGTTCAATCACACCGAAGGTTAAGCCAGTTAAAACTCTTAACCTGAGCTGTTCTGGTTTTTGTCTTTCGAAGATGGGTCAAAGTCAGGTCATGGTCGGAGAGGATGCCTGGAGGAAGGAGCTTGGGATGCCATACATGTTATACAGGTGATTCTCTTAACAGATGCATACATACCATCACCATGCACACGGCACCCTTACATCCACAACTGCAACTATATCATATTCCTCCAAGGAGCTCTTTTATGGCTTCATATATTGCTTAACCTAGGTTGGTCCAGAGGAGGAGGAAATGGCAGAGTATTGCTTGACAAGTACCATTATGCTCTCTCTGACCACTGACGACGAGTCCTCGGGCAAATTCGGCTTATCTGGATCAATTAGAAGACAAGTAAGTTTCAGCTTCAACAGATTAACAGTTCAATGGTGATTCATTGGAAAAAATACCCAATTTCTTTAAAACAAGAACATTCTTTCTGCTACTGTTTGGAATTAGATGAAGATGGAGCTCGCAGTAGCGGAGGGACATCTTTGCAACATGGGAAGAATGATTGAAGAGCTGGAAGGCAAACTCAGGAACTCACTTGATCAGGTTCTAACTCCAGTCCCTGTGATAAGTTTCGGATCGTATCACTTATCATCTCATAATTTAGAGTGTGGCTACATAAAGTTTGAGACTTGTTTGGTGAAAAACTCAGGTTTACTTTGGGAAGACGAGAGAAATGGTTTGCACATTGCGTCCACCAGCTGAGATTGTACAGATGAGATTACCCGACTCCTGATGCTCCTCCCATCACAGTTTTTGTTTCTGTCTGAATTTAAACGTTTCTCCGAGTGTCTTGTGTGGAATGTGGATGCCTCTTGCCTCGTGACATGTTTTCTCTGACTTCAATATTATCATCTTTTTCCATATATATATATACAATGAAATGATGCAGTTTTTAAGGTCCTCTTAATCTCTTGGAATTGCCTTCACATTCAATTACCAAATATGAAGTGCTATCTTATTGTTCTTAGCTTTGATTACGTATGTATGTCTATGTTACATTGAAAACAACACATGCTCTCTCTCTCTGGGTGTGTAAACGATATATACAATTATAAATCTATCTTCACCATTCCTAACCTCGAACCCTCTCCCTCGGGCCGCTTCATGACGTAGTACGGCATGCAAGTCCACATTACTCTGTCCTAAAACGTGAAAAAACGGTTGCGAGTAGTTAAACTTAACGTCGTTAACCTGGTGGCGAACGTCGTGATAGGCACAGTTAATCTCGGCAGAAGAACCAAAAGTTTCCTTTTTTCTTTGGAGTAAATTGAGACATAAATATCCTTGAACTGTACAATTCACTTTGCTACATATTTTTATAAGGTAAACAATTAAATTACATTCGTCTTCTTAAACCATTCTTTTAATATAAGCAAAACAAAATTAAGGCAAAGTACCATCGACGACGAATACCAAAAAAATCTCTGACGAACGCACCGGTTCGGATCCCATTCAACTCGTTCGAATTCGAAAACCCGTTTCTTGGAGGAAGAAGATGAAGCGCTTCATCTTCATCTTCTCCTTCGTCATCTTCTTTTGATTTAATGGCTTCTTCCTCCCAACGACGCTGCGTTTTTGGTATACTCACTCTCCTTTCATCACTCCTTCGAATTTGGATTCCTCTGGTCTTAAAATTGTCGATTTTCGTTTCTCTGTTATAGTTGGGAACATTCCTTACGACGTTACCGAGGAGCAACTCAGAGAAATTTGCGGAGAGGTTGGACCTGTCGTCTCCTTTAGGTCAGTTTCCTGCTAGGGTTATTTGCTCAATTTCGGGTCAATTGTATCTAGGGTTTGACAAAGTTATCATCTTTCTGTCTTTTTTTGCTCTTCCCGGATTCTCAGATTAGTTACCGATAGAGAAACCGGAAAACCAAAAGGCTACGGATTTTGCGAGTATAAGGACGAAGAAACAGCGTTGAGTGCTCTTCGTAATCTCAAGAGTTACCAAATCAATGGCCGTCAATTAAGATTTAATTTTGCCGAGAATGACAAAGGAACTGAGAAACCTCGTGATCAGGTTCACTACTCCTCTCTTTACTTCTTTTGCCACTGTTTTTACTCACCGAAGCTTTCATCTCAATACGTTCAAATTTTGATTTCAGGGTCAAGGAGGACCAGGTTTGCCTGCTACTACTACTGGTATGTGTTGTGTCAGTCTCTGAACTATAATTTTTCTTTGTGACAAACAAAAACTCTTATCATTGTTTCTTCTTTCTCTCGGCTCTTTCAGTGGCAGAATCTCAAAAGCAAGTTGGAGTGACTGGAGATTCAAATATGCATCAACCGGTTGGTCTCCACCTTGCTATAACAGCTGCATCGGTTATGGCCGGTGCGCTTGGTGGTCCTCAGGCCGGTTCGCAATTTACGCAAAGTTCGCTGCAGGCTCCGCCTAGTGATCCCCTGACTCTTCATCTTGCCTCGATGTCTAGAACTCAGCTCACTGAAATTATATCCTCCATTAAGGTCTGTATTATCAACGTTGGTTGTTAGTTTCTTTAGTTATTTTAACGTAGTGGTGTGATGTGATTGTATTCTTTCAATTGTCAGCTAATGGCTACACAGAATAAGGAACAAACTCGACAGTTGTTGGTTTCAAGACCTCAGCTGCTAAAAGCTGTTTTCCTGGTACTTACCCATCCCCCTGACTCTGCAAATCATTTGAATCTCGTTCACTGTTACTGATATTCTTTTAAGTTAATTGTTGGTGATTCATGGGAACTAGGAGGGAAAAAAATCTGGTTTAGTTCCTTAGTAGAAACTGTTACACTATGAATCTTACACCATCTTTTTTAACCTATACGTTCTCTACTGTTGTAGGCACAGATAATGCTTGGGATTGTGAGTCCACAAGTCGTAAGTTTTCCATCTTAATGAACAGTTTTTGCTTCTTTTTTTTCTCTATCTATCTGTTATATGATCCGAAGAGGACTCTTGCCATTCTTAAACTGTGCAGTTGCAGACGCCAAGTATTGTCCAGGCCCCAAATCATATGACAGGGTCTTCAATTCAAGACGCACAACTACCTGGTCAAGTATCTAGTCAAAATCTTTTACCGCCACTGGCTCAAAGGTCGCAGCAGCTAAGTCGCCCTCCCCATAGTCAGTTTCCCGTTCAGCAGCCTTCTAATCAACCTTTTAGTCAGATTCCACAACTAGTAGCACAACCAGGTACTTCTTCTGTGAATCCTCCTCATAGATCTCAAGTTAAAAGTCTCAGCGAAACCGCTCCTTTCCAACGCCAAAAACAAGTGGTTCCAGCTTCCACCAGCGTAGGTTATAGTATTCAGACAGTTCCAAGTAATGCTATCCAGCCATCTCAAGTACCTCGCCCACCAGTGCAGGTGAGTTTCCACAACACCTTTCCTTTTAGAGAACGAAGCCATTGTGATATAAACGCAGTTCAAAAGTCTTTGCATAGTTTAGCACCATAGTATTCAAATATCAAGTGTTATTAGTGTGAACACCAAAGAACTGCTCTGTTTTAATTACCCTCTTTTACAGCGAAACTTTATTGATTTGATGGTTGAATATGTTGCCTTATATACTTTGCAGCAAGGTGGGCAAACGGTATCAGTAAATTATGGCAAAAGAATACACAATGAGGGACCTCATGAATCAATAAGCAGACCATCGAAGATGATGAGAGTGGATGATAGGAGAACCACTTCACTCCATGTAGGTCATGCGTCTAACTCAGTGCTTCCAAATCCAGTACAACTACAAGAGAAAGCGCCTCAGGTAATTATCAATTTTCACATCATTTGAGTAGCTTAATTGTATGAGAAATCGCTCACAAAATGCACCAATGAATCTATTAATTTGCAAATCTTTGATCCGTGATTGATTATCTTTGTCCAGACGCATCTCACCCCGGATGTTCAGTCAACGTTGCTCCAGCAAGTAATGAACCTTACGCCGGAACAGCTGAGGATGCTGACCCCAGAACAACAGCAAGAAGTCTTAAAGCTGCAACAAGCACTCAAGCAAGACCACATGATGCAGCCTTCATAGCATCGAGGTTGTTGTCTCATAAATCTCATCTGTCTTTAGAGCTGCATTGTTTTCTTCTTTCTCGGTGATATTTGATCTAATTCTCGTTTGGTTCCCTCCCTCTTCTATCCACAGGGGTAAGTAACTGGGTTGGTCGGTTTCATTTGACTGAAAGTTGCAGAGATGAAAAAGGTTTTTCGCACGAAGATTACCATAGAAAGAAAAAAAGAGAAGGCTCTCTCACCTCAATTGGTGAGTGATTGTACTATTAGTGTAGCATTTATTTGTGCTGAGTTTGTCTTATAGAAGAACTATCCTCTAGCCATCAAAATATAAAAGAAAAGAGAAAGTTTACAAAGAAAAATGTCTTAGAATAACTGTGTCCTCTCTCTCTCGCTCTCTTACTTTTACTTATTACCGTTTTGTTTTCTGCTTTTTAACTCAACTGTCCTTCGTTCGTTTTGAACCTTTTATTCTGTGGCCACTGGTTTGGTCATTGGTGAAAACTTTAGTACTTCAGTGAATAAAATCTTTTTTCTTTCACTATACAACAATTACGGCTACGCTTACAAATACAAGAATTTTTTTTTTATTTTGTTAACAGATCAAATGTGCATTTTCTGTCAAGTCAACGACCAATTTTAGTTTGGGGTTAAAACGACGGATTTACTATTTCTCATAATAAATATCAAATAATACAACTCTTGTAGCAATGGAGATTGTAAAAGATTACAGTATTGCGCTTGAAAAATAAAATCACAGATATCATATGTGTGTATAAAAAGTAGCAGTCTTTAATATTTAAGCGTTTTCATGTAATCGTACATCAAAGAAACATCCTACGAATGGTTCTAGCGAAAGCCCTAGAAACCAATCTTCCAACAAGGTCACCTGGCAATTGAAGCAATCGCTGTTGCGACTCTTGTGGAAGCTGCAAAATTCATTCCAACACCCCCAAAAAAAAAAAAAGAAGTCAGGACACTTATGTCTTTCATCAAAATTACAAAAATATTAACATGTCGGGACTAGTAAAATAAAGTACTGATTAGCAAACACATTTGAAAGTGTTGGTGATGATGTGCGTTGTGCAGACGTTACCTCGGGTAAGATGGAGAGGATCGGGAGCATCTCTTGAGCTGATGGAAACTGATACATAACGAGTGATGATGCTTCGTCTAGAGGCGTTAGTGCCTCGCCATATTTACTAACCGCTTTTACTTGCTGCAACATTTGATGCGCAAACATTAAAGATCATACAAGACGAAAGCAAAACAATATTTGATCTCTTACTTTACAAAAACAATCACAAGAAAAAGAGGAATTTCTTACCGTTTCAGCCCGCTGCATCCCTGAGAACAACGAGATGAGTCGATAGAAGGTTCTCAGGTTTGTCATGTCTTCTTCTGTCAAGGAGTTGAATGGCCTTGAACCAGAAAATGGCATAGTCGTAGATGTCAAAGAGTCCAACGTTGCCAATCCAAATGCATCAAGACCCTGTCGAATGATTAATTAGTTATTTGGTTTGCTTGTTTGTCAAGCCAGTTGGTTTCTTCGACAGCCCCCTTCGATTAAAATATCGAACAGCTAATAAGACATTTTAAATGCTCACCTTAGCGAATTCTCGAAGAAATATTTCTCTTACAAAAGAACCCTGTTCAATGTTTCAAAATTCAAGCAGCTGTAACATTAGTTTTGTAATTATTTAGTACAAACAACTACAGCTTGTATATATATATACCTGTTCCGTGAAAGTAAAAGCAAGTAATTGCTTCATGACGATCTTAGAGTCTGTGCCTTCCACTGGTTTCTGAACTAATGCCGTCTCTGTCCTAAGAGACTGTAGAAAGTAGATATTGATAAGAAACCAAATATAATAAACTTTGTTATATAAACAGCCAAACCCTAAAATACCCAAGCTAATCATTTCCCACTGTCACAGACTTCCTCGAGAGTAGGGACATTTTTTGTATATTTTTCGTCATGCAGATTTCACTGTCTTCGGTTGGCTCTTTGGCCGTCTAGTTGTATGATTATTAGCTGTTTAGTGACTAGTTTACCACTGAACACCACATAGCCCACATCAATTTAACCAAAATACGTACAGCTCCAAACTAAAGACATAAGCAAAGCAACAAGAAGGAAATGTACAAGAAAAAGAGACGCATGTGCATTGTGCAACCCATAGATAGCCAAACAACGAAAAGGGACTAAATCGAGTCGCACCTCAGTAATCAAAGACTCAAGACGGTCAATTCGGAAAACACCTTCCTGGCAGAGACACAAATAAAAGGATGGCACGTTCAGGAAAAGATTTAAACACAATGTGAAATAGGGATGTCGAATCTGATTAGACAAAATTGTTTAGTACCTCATACAAAAGAGATTGAAGAGAACTTTTCAGCTGCGGAGAGCTGTCTGTTAGAATTTTTCTGGCGATCCAAGGGTATGTACTGCCCAATACCTTGTAGTTTGGGCTTATACCAATGGCAATCCCCTCCAAAACAGCAAGACTGGGGAATCAAAGATGAGAAACCAGGAATTATGTGAATGCTGTCTCAGTTGACAGAAAAAGACTAATCACACATAAGCCATGGTTGAGAGTAAATGTAGGATAAATTGAATTAAGCATTTAGAGACCAGTTGGACCCAATTTGTGCAAAAGCTCAGACTTATATAATTTGAGAATTCTCAGAAGCTCAAAACAAAAATGTTCATCATACCTGCGGATAACGAGAGAAAAATAGGGCGGTATTCTGAATTTGAATTCGTACCTGAAAGTTTGACAAATGAATATCAGTATCTAATAAGTAGAGTTCTTTTAAATGTCCATCTCCCAGCAATATACTGGTTAACTTTGTTAATAAGACCGTATATAGTTTAAGTACAAGTGTTATTACATGGTTTTTCCTAAGTCGCCAAGCAGGTCACCAAAGCTTATATTGCGAACACCTCTGGAAATTGCATCTTGAAAAACATCTACAGACAGAGGAGGCATTTGTCAACCAAGGTTTTTATAAAAATCCTGCATGATAACACTCTTTTCCAAACTAAAAGCAAGAAAGAACCTGTTAAAGCCTTCGTCACAGCGCTCTTTTCAGCTGTTGGTGGAAGAAGCCTATAGAAGTCGTGCAGATAAGATTAGGAAATGTCAACAGTTGAAAGTTCAGATTCAGATAGACACCAATGATCAGAGTACCCCAGAGTTACAAAGTCTTTAGCCAGCGCTTTGAAGTCACGGTTTACTAGATGAAGACATGCTTCCATGAATCCATCACGTAATTCTGGCCTAAAGTCCCCCATCATACCAAAATCTGGCAACAAAACCAGCTATCAACTCAATAAGTTATAAACACAAGATACTTCATAGCACAGTAAACTATGTCTTTAGCTTGTAGAACATAAAACCCAAGTATATCAATGTAAAGTGAGGCAGACAAAGTCCCAATATCATATCTGGAGAAGTGAACAATTATCACAAATATAACCTATAACGTAGAAAAAATAAAAAAGACCACTGAGCAAAAAGTTACATAGGTGTTCATGTTTCTGATTAATTCACTGTATGACCAGATGGATTAGATAAAACACAGGTAAAGTCTACTACCAGAGCATCAGTGAGTAGTCTCTTTTCTTTGAATGAAGAAACAATACAAAAACATTATCTGGGCCTGGAATTCAGTATGATAACACATAAAGTTAGTATTGAGATCGAGGAATACCTAAGTATGCAAGTTGGCCATCGTATGTACGAAGAAAATTCCCAGGGTGGGGATCAGCATGGTAAAATCCATACTCCAGAAGTTGATTAAACGAACAGTAAACACCAACCTCAACTAAATAAAGATCATTAACTTCAGCAAGCTTCTGACCCTGCAGTGATACAGAAAGTAGATTGCACTAAATTATTATGTGCTTAAGAAATACAGAACTCCTTTTGACGGGGGAAAGCCATATATAACTACTTGACGCAAACAAGAAAAATGATTGCGAATGTTTGACTTCATACCTCCACCCACTCCATGACAAGAACTTTGCTGGTACTGTACTCTGTGTACATCTTTGGAACCAAAACATCTTTGATGCTACCATACAACTTCCTGTTCAAGAATACATAATGTTACTTTACCAGAATCCCTTATAGAAGATTTGACCATTATATGTGCTATAGTGTTTGCCCAAGTACCACGTTAAGCAAAAACACCACATGATCTATAGTTCAGATTGATTATTTATAATGCAACTATAATGTTAGTCATAGACTCATAGCCATAACATATATAGGAGATCAAATAAGGCGGACAAGACTCAAACCTTAGCAGGCTTTACCTAAATTTTATTCCGTTTTGTGCTTCTTTCAAGTAATCCATCTCCTGCATTCAATGTGATTTCCCTGTATTCAATATAAAGCTCTAAGATATTCCTCGAACAATAAAATTTTCAATGCAACAACTAGTTCATCTAAAAGATCTTTCAATACATTACAGAGTTCGTAGCATCTATCCATTTTTCACGCTATAGATAAAGATGGAACTAATTATTTTCCAGCATCACCTTCAACCACTGAAATTTATTTTATACGTAACAGAAAAGTAGAACTGCCTAAAGAGAAAACACTCTGGAACTCTCAATGATGGAGAAAATAAGCATCTAGAACTTACCAGTTTTATTTCAAGCAAAGTAAAGTATACTCTACGTATCAGTATCAAATGTCAACGCAAAACATGGAAACCGACTTGTGATAAGAGTGTATCCTTTACCTTAAACAGACTTGTTGCCCATTCGTCAACAACTGCCTGCAAATGGAATTTCAAACTTCAGCATTGGAAGGGATAACAGTACACTCTGACTAACTTAGCTTCCATCTTTCTCTCAAACAGAAAGTGAGAATCAGAGTTATAACTGAGATGGATACTAGTGTAAGTTGACATATAATATTTCTTTATCAGTTCAAAGGAAGGCACAAGTTTCAAGTCACCTGGAGATCTGAGTTGAATCTCCCAGCCTTTTTAATCAAACCCGCTATATATCGTAGAATTAGTGTGTCCAAAGCAATAGCAGCTCGCACACCAGGCCTCTGCACTTTGACAGCAACAACCTCTCCATTTCTACGGAGCCTAGCTTGATATACCTGAAACGTAGACCAAAGTAGGATCCACATAGATTGGGAATAAGAAACTATCATTAGGAAAAGCTTCTAGACCATAATAAAACCATCCAGCCTACCTGTCCAAGGGACGCTGCAGCTACAGGCTCTGGAGAAATCTCAGAGAAAAGCTCATCTATAGGAAGGCCAAGTTCATCCTCTATCATATTGAAAGCAACTTCGGTTGAAAACGGAGTTATTTGATCTTGAAGCAAGGAGAGTTCATCCAAGTATGTAGGTGGTATCAAATCCTATTGATGATCAAAACTAGTCAACAAAACCATATCTTAACAGCAATTAACAATCACAAAGCACAAGAAATGTGGTGTGAACAGTGTCAATAAAGCCTGAAGAATACAGCACAGTAAGCTAACTTACAGGACGAGAAGAAACAGCCTGAGCGATTTTGACATACGCCTAAAAGAGAGAAGAACACTCGCATTGAGCAATTTGAAGAGCAGATAAAAAGGAATCGTAAGTTAAGCTTCAGAAGAAAAGCTAGAAGCCATACCGGACCTAGTTCCACCAGTAATCTCCTAAGCTCCGCTGCTCGTACCTAATTACAAAACCATAGTTGAGCTGAGCATCACGAAAGTTCGGGAGTGCAGTGAAATCTAAGCATAACAAAATTAGAGAAAAGACCTTGAACATCTGCTCAGACCGCTCGAGAGCCTCATCGGCTAAGCGAAGCCCAAGCCAGAAACCAAACGTAGTCCCGATCTGAGCCAATCTACGGAGGAGAATCAGAGGTTTCTTCTTATACATACCATCGATCCTGGAAAAATTGTACTCCGACAAGGAATCGGCCTCATCGGCACTGAGGCTGAACAGATAGCCGGATTTACTCGTGAAGCTATCAACATCTCTGGAAGCAGCGGAAACGACGGCGGGGTTCCCTCTTCGCAGCGGCCAAGACGGCCGTGAGAGCGGCAGTAGACTGGGATTGGCCGGAAAAGAAACGATTGGCGGAGAAGGAAGAAGAAGCATCTCTTCCAGAAACTAGAGAATATATATTTTCTTCGCGGATCGTCGTGTGTGTTTTTTAATATCATGCAGGATTCAAAAACATCTATCTGGTTCTCGACTCTTTTATCTCTTTTTTTCCGCTCACATTCTTTATACTTTCTCGTCTTGACACTTACTGGGATTTTTCGGGTTTTCTGCGTCACACATATGGCACCACCTCTTTTCGTATATTTTATCTTTGCCTATTCTTCAAACTTTTGTATTTAACTTACGGAGCTTCCAAGTTTAAAATATTGCCGAAACTGATAAAATTATTTGTCCAACCGTAGCTTATTTTTGATAATAAAGTGGTTTATTGACAAAAATCAATAGGGAATACTATAATTTTACAAGTGTTTTTCATGTATCGACACCTCATCATTTTTGTTGATTATAATTTATAAAAGTGGCATTTGTATGGTTCTAGTCGATAACAAACACAATAAACCAATGCAATTTCATCCAAGGAGCCAGTAAAATTCCTACATATGACTCTCAAAGAAGTTAGTATTTTCTTCTTTGTTGATTGAGATATCAGTTTCATTTTCTCTCCCTTAAAAATATATTTAGGACTTGTTATTTCATTTCATTGTATTTACTTTTGCCACTGTAGTTTATAGTGTATTAAAACTAAATTTTTAAAAAAATTGTGGTTATTTTAAAAATTCATGTTATTCAACTAATAATTTATAAATATCTTACCAAAATCTATGTATTAACATAAAATTTATATAAAATCAATTAAAATCATTAAAATCTCTATGTTATTAAATTAAAAATTTGTAAAAACTAAATTAAATATACTTTTATTATAAATATTTTAAATAGTGAATGCTTTAAAATGATTTTTGGTGGAGTTTGTTAGTTAAACATATAAAAAATTAAATATTATTGTTTTAGACAAAATTTCATAAATTTTTATATTAAATTATATCAATTTTCTCAATCTACCTAAAATCATCTAAAAATTTATTAAAACTTAAATCTTTTCAAATTCTTTCAAATTACAAATTGAATACACCATATTTAGTGATTTGGATACAAACTTTGGTTATGGATTTGTTTAATTGACATAGGATTATAGCCAATTTTGAGATGTTAAAGGTTATAACTAAGGATAAAATTGGCATTTGTACCAGTTTTGAACAAGAAATTTTAATCACTTTACTAAACCATATAAACCAATAAAAAGATTTGATCCTTCTTACTCTATGAGCGTTTTATAGACTTTTGTTCTCATATAAGTCCTCACGTCTTCAGAGAAAATTGACTCATCTTGATGCCATTTAAAAATGTGTTAAAATTCTTAGTTTTATTTAGACGATTTAGCCCCTATGAGCTTTTATTACACTTTTCTTCCCATATAAGTCATCACATCTTCAACGGAAATTGGCTTATCTTGATGACCATTTAAAAAGTATTAAAATTCTTTGTTTTTTTATAAGGCTTAGCCCTATGGACAATCGGCTCATTTGAAATGGTCTGCTCAGTTGTTTGTCCCAACAAACATGTTCCATGACTTTATTGATCTTCAAAGTTAGATTTGGTGTTCATCTTAAGATTTTCACTGGTTATGTTGTGGTAAGCTTTCTTTGGTTATATTTGATCGAAAGTAGCTGTTAGGTGATGATTAAGTTTTTAAATCGAGGAGTTGGTCATTAAATCCGTTGTCGACGAAAAAGAATCAAAATTTTTGTTAAAACGTTGTTATTTGTAGATTTTATCTTTTAAATTTTTTTTTCAATTATCTTTTCAGTCTTTCTTACTTGCAAAAAAAATAAAAAGAAACTTATATAAAAAAGATATTTTGTGAGTTTTGGTTACAAAAAGATATTTTGCAGAGAAGAATCATTTTGTTCACTGTTGAAAATATGTTAATCCGATTTTGTTTTTTCTTTTTCCTTACATTTGTCCACATATGTTCATTCACGTGATCGGAATATTTAAACAATATATGTTTGATTTTCTATTAATGATCATTCATATGAGCATGAGCTTCATCGATCTTAAACCAGTTCAGTGGACGTTTGAAGATATACATAAAGATTCATCCAAAAAAATTGATGACGAAGTGTTATAGTTCTATTTGATTTTGTATAGAAAAAGAAAAAATAGTCATTTCGAATGATTAAAGTACATTTTCACTTTTGAATGCCTTAATTTGTTATTGACCTATGTAAAAGTACTTTAAAGTGTAATTTTCTCCAAAATAAATCGGGAAGACTCTCACATGTATATGCGTTTCGTTCACCGCGGATGAGCGTTGGCGTTTGCGAGAAGAAAAAACAACTGATAGCATTAAAACGAACTGAAAAAAGAAATCCACAAACAGATTACGACGAAGTAAACGCTGCGAATCTCAGTTTTGGCCCTCGAATTTGCTCAAATGACTTCTTCTTCGGTTGCGTCCATTTGGCCTTAACGTTTCTGTTTCAGATCTCTTCATTCTCCTGTGCGGTGTAGTGATTGTTTCGGATTCTCCAATGATTTTGTTTTCGCAGAAACGCTCTTCAATCTAGGATCGCCGTTGTTAGAGAAAGTGATCTAGCGAAGATGATGGTCGAGGATCTCGGTGTGGAAGCCAAGGAGGCGGCTGTACGGGAGGTGGCGAAGCTATTACCCCTACCCGAGCTTTTGCAATCAATTTCTTCGATCAAGGCCGATTACATCGCTCGTCAACAGGTTTTCCGTCTTGCTTTCAATTGCAATCGGAACTAAATTGGCTTAGAAATCTCGAATTTCACCGAGTATCATTTATTTCTGAGTGATGCTGGGTTTGATTTCATAGGTTTCTCTACGCTACCGTGACTGTTTCTTCTAAATTCTGCCGGAAATGTAATGACCTTACTGGTGATTTTTTTTTGGCTGTTTTCCTCAGGCGAATGATGCGCAGCTAAGTACAATGGTTGCTGAGCAGGTAAAGCTTTAATCCGGTATTCCTTGTATTCTTATTTATTTTCGATACTCTTTTTCTGAATAATCTCTGTTGACAAACTGCAGGTTGAACAAGCTGAAGCGGGGTTGGAGTCGCTTTCCTCATCGGAGAAAACCATTTATGAACTGAGAGATAATTTCATTTCTATCGACAAGTATGTTTTAGCTCGGCTGAGAGATTCTTGAAGCGGAGTTGTCAATTTCCAGGTTTTTTTCCTCTAACTTCACTGCTTGTGCCACAGGCTTTGTCAGGAATGCCAAACTTTGATTGACAATCACGACCAAATAAAGCTGCTGAGTAATGCCAGGAATAATCTAAACAAAACTCTAAAGGTAGATACGCCAACTAGCACTGATCCTACCGCTCAAACAGTTTCTGGTTCAGTATCGTTCTTGTGGTTAACCTAATCTAGAACTCGAAAACGCATAGCTCTGCATGGTCGTCTCAGTTGTTTAAATGGTTTCAAGTTTATAGCAACTAATTGTATACCACATTTTTTTCTTTCTAGGATGTAGAAGGCATGATGTCAATTTCTGTTGAAGCTGCTGCTGCTCGGGAGTCTCTGAGTGATGATAAAGAAATTGTTAACACTTACGAGGTAGCATGAGTCCTATTCCATGGATTCCAGGCATTTCTGACTGTAAGTGAATGTCAGGTCTGAGGCATAACATTCTTTTTGTTCTTCCATAGAGATTAACAGCACTTGATGGTAAACGGAGATTTGCCTTAGCAGCTGCCGGAGAGGAGGTTGGGAGGCTAAGGTTTGTATTTGTTCCACTCTTTTCCTTACTCTGCTTTCAGTACTTACATGAAGCGGGCCTGAAAGTTTTAATTCAATAGTTACTTGGCTGCTAAATAATTACGAGCTGGAAATGAAGGAAACTAGGTCTCTATGCTAAAGCAAATGAGCAATTCATGGAACTGTCATTCTTTTGATAGTGCCTATGATGATTTGATCCCGCCTCTGTACTATGTTTTCTATTTTACGTTATCACTCCAATTTCTGAAGAGTTGTGTTAATGGTTCAGGGAATATTTTGAAGACGTTGATAGAACATGGGAAACATTCGAGAAGACACTATGGGGTCATGTTTCCAACTTTTACAAACTTTCTAAAGAAAGGTACTTTGAGTGAATATATGGTTATGCTAGACCTCTCTCTGCACATTCCAGTTTGGTTAATCCCTACTTCCTCATTTTAGTATTTTGATCCTTGCCTGTATTTGATAAGAATGAGGTTAGGAAACTAGTTACATCAAGGAAGAAAGCAATGTCAATGGATGAGAGAAACATAGTTGGACTGTACCAGTTTTTCGGTAGCTAGATATGAGCAATTATAAATGAAAAGTCATAGTTTATGTAATGCTCTGTTCTCTGTTTTATGTTGTCAGCCAGACTTTGGGGCTCACGTACACATTTGGAGTTTTCTCATTGTTGAAATAAGTATTTTATCGTTGTTAAGCTTATAGTTCCACTAAGATATCAAATGTTAGATGTTTTTGGGCTAACCTAAAAAATTACTGATTAACTACTTTTACTCTGTTACTGATGTATCTCTTTGTTCTGCAGTCCACAAACGCTTGTTCGTGCTTTGAGGTATGATATCCCATCACTCGCGTTCTTCATCTTTGTCTATTGCATATAGATTGTGTATAAAATATTTTCTGGTGATTGGCATCAAGATAAATTGGTGATAAGCAAGTAAATTGTCCCTTTCTAATTTTATGCAAAGATAAATTGGTGATAAGCAATTTTTTTATCCAATTTCTAATTTTATGCTGGCATTCGAAGTTTATTAAACACGGGATGATGTCTCGTACGCTGGTACTAACTTACAATGGTCTCTTCTATCAAAGGGTTGTTGAGATGCAAGAAATTCTTGACCAACAACTTGCTGAAGAAGCAGCAGAGGCTGAGGGAGAAGGTGCGATGGCATCTGTAGCAAATCCTCGAAGGCCTGGCAAGTGAGTGATAAGTTTTTGTTTATTTTCTACTTGATCTGTTGTCTCAGAATCTCTTTCACTTTTCACTGTTGGTTTACCTAAGATAAGTTATGCTCTGATCTAGTCTCCTGAAAAGCAGTGGTATTATTATTGAAGTCCCGATAATCACTTGTGACATGTCTTGTGTTTGTGGTGCTGAATCCAGGAAATCTACTACAACGTCAGCTTCGTCAAAGGGTCTTGCACAGCAGAAGTTAAAAATCCAAGGGAAAGGCTACAAGGATAAATGCTACGAGCAGATTCGAAAGTCAGTCGAAGATCGGTTCAACAGGCTTTTGACGGTAGGACTTTCTTTTTGAAAATTTTCATTTGGTGGCATAGTTAAAAGTAATATGTGTTTCTTTGTGGGGTCATCCTAACACTGAGTTATTGACCAGCTTGTATTTGAAGATCTAAAAGCAGCTTTGGAGGAAGCTAGAATGGTTTGTGCGACTGATTCCCTTTCTTGCATACTCTTCTTTTTCATTGTCTCTTTTCTGAAGTTCATTGAACTTGTTATTCAACTATTTGATAGATTTTTAGTAGGCGTAGATCTTCTTTAGTTGACTGAATTTGTTAAAAGTATTCTATCTTTTGGTTTTTAATAAATACGGTTGATGATCTAGTATGTTATTGTTCTGTCGGAAACGTTTCAGATAAATCTACCCATCTTATATTTCTGTTCATGTTCCATAGACGTTAATCCCCAATGTTAACTCCATAGATTGATGCCAACCTCGTTTTCTTCTGCTATCTTTCACAAATATATATTTTTAATTAACTCGAGTTTTCACTTTCTTTCTATTGTGTTTGACAACTAGATTGGAGAGGAACTTGGTGATATTTATGACTATGTGGCTCCTTGTTTTCCTCCAAGGTCTTTTGCTATGCCAACTTCCTTTTTTTCCTCTACAACAGTGAAATATGACAGCTTTAAATCTTATTCTGTTCCCCCAAAGATAAAATGATCATCTTAGCAATATTCCCTGTTGGCAGATACGAGATATTTCAGCTTATGGTGAACCTATATACCGAGAGGTTCATACAAATGCTCAGATTGCTCAGTGACAGGGCAAACGATCTGACAAATATAGAGATATTAAAGGTGTGTGAAGCTTGATTCTTAGTAGTGTTCTTGCCAAGTTGTGTCGCAAAGAGTTCACATATTTTGCTTTTGGTACTTTGGCTCTGTTTTTTTCTGGCCTAATACGGAGGACATTTTTTATCAACCATGCATGATATTTAAGCAAATGTCAAGCTAGTGCAAGTATATAACAGGGAACACAGTTGAAGTTTTTTAGAGGGGGTAGTATTTGTGGCTGCCATATTATATGTTATTGTCCACCAATGTATTCATGCTTAAACTCTATGTACTCATCAGCATTCCTCATTCGTTTTACCCTGTCTCTCTGCATCACATATCTTTTAGAGAGTGATGCGTCTTCTCGTTCTCATTGAAACTTGCCAGGTTACTGGTTGGGTGGTAGAGTACCAAGAAAACTTGATTGCACTTGGTGTTGATGATTCACTAGCTCAAGTGTGCTCAGAGAGTGGTTCAATGGATCCCTTAATGAATGCATATGTCGAACGAATGCAAGCTACAACAAAGGTAATGACATGCACGTTTGACTTTTTCTGCTGGATTTTGAGGCTTACAACTATAATAATTCTTTTTGCTTACTTTAGTTACCAATCGTCTTTGGTTGCAGAAATGGTACATGAATATCCTTGAGGCGGATAAGGTGCAACCACCTAAGAAAACAGAGGAAGGGAAATTATATACTCCGGCTGCTGTAGATTTATTCAGAATACTCGGAGAGCAAGTGCAAATTGTGAGAGATAATAGCACCGATGTTATGTTGTACAGAATTGCTTTGGCTATTATTCAGGCAAGTCAGAGAGGTTGCAAATACCTTTTTTTTGGTTTCTCCCAATTTCTCTGTTTGGCTATGAACTGAAAAGGGTTATAATTGGAGAAAAGGCTTTTGATTGGCTATATACTTAGAAATTTCAAATCGTTCTTGCTTGTGTGAATGTTAATGCTGGAGACTTCATCAGTTCCCAGCTATTTTTTCTATATCTATCCCTAATGTCCAGTCCCATTTACCCCCTTTTTGCTTTCTCTTTTCTAACTTTTTCCCCCTCTTCATTTAATCTGATTATAATATTCTTACAACGAAATATCCTGCATTTGTTTTCTAATTTTCATACCTTTTAAATTTCGTTGGTTTTGTAGCTACAGCATATGCATGTTCTATGTTTTGATTCAATTTTGTTACTTCAGGTTATGATCGATTTCCAAGCAGCTGAAAAGAAGAGAGTTGAAGAACCAGCTTCTGATATTGGTCTGGAACCTCTCTGCGCTATGGTATGCCAAAACATATGACTCTTTAAATGTCACTACTACCATTCTCCCATTTCGATAAATATTTATATTTGTTAATACTTCCTACAGATAAACAACAACCTTCGCTGTTATGACCTTGCCATGGAGTTGAGTAATAGCACTTTAGAAGCTCTTCCACAGAACTATGCGGAGCAGGTAATCCAACTGCCATTTTCTGATCTCAATTTCTTTGCAATTTATTATTTTGAGTCGAATTCCACTGCATCATGCCCACTCTCAGTCCCTCTATACTCCACATCTAAATCCGCCTGCAGCCTTTTTTGCATGCTAAGAAAATGCTTTTTAACTGTGGTGTTTCCGTCAGGTGAATTTTGAAGACACTTGCAAAGGTTTCTTGGAGGTGGCTAAGGTACAGCAAAGATTCTTATTTCTCCCGTCGTCAATCTAGATGTAGTTCTTGCCTTTGTATTGCGTGGCCTCGTAGTTGCCCAGATGGCTGTTGAGATGAAAAATCAACCTGATCTGGATATCTTTTTAGTTAAGCATTTACGTTGGATTTTACAAAATTGCCATTTGGTCTTTTGATCGCAGGAAGCAGTGCATCAAACAGTTCGCGTTATCTTTGAGGATCCAGGAGTTCAGGAATTACTTGTCAAGCTTTACCAGAAAGGTAATATACCATTCTGCAGGACTATTCTGTTTAGCTTTGTTAGTGTGTGAATAAAGGCAATAGAGGCTTTGTCATCTCCTTGCTACTGGTTTTCATTGATTTCTAATAGATATGGACTATTTTCATCCGCATTGATTTCCTATATGTTTCTTGATGTCATAGTTCTGTTATTTATGACGCAATCATTTAAGAATCAAGTTACGCTCTTTTACACATCTTATCTGTTCATTTCCTCCCAAAACAGCACTATGAACATGTTATTTCTCAGCCAGATGACATATGTACTTGAAACGCGTTCTTGGCTTCATCCTCCTATGGTTTTGTTCTTAACCTTGCTGTTTACTTTACAGAATGGTGCGAGGGGCAGGTTACCGAGTACCTCGTTGCAACTTTTGGTGATTATTTCACAGATGTGAAAATGTAAGTTCTTCGCGTTTACTTTTGCGTAACAGAACTTGTATCACCACAGCTCTATTGAGGTTTTGTTGATGAATGGTGTTGATGCAGGTATGTTGAAGAAAGATCATTCAGAAGATTTGTTGAAGCTTGTCTGGAAGAAACAGTCGTTGTTTATGTTGATCATCTCCTAACACAGGTTTCCCAATTTATTCTCCGGTATTTACCTTTCCTATTTCATCAGTATACATATGAACTGAAACTTAAAGGTTGCCGCATGTAATCCCAGAAAAACTACATCAAGGAAGAAACTATTGAAAGGATGAGGCTAGACGAGGAGGTTCTTATGGATTTCTTTAGGGAGTATATAAGTGCATCTGTAAGTTGGTCTTAGCACTTAAACTCACTTTAGCCTGGACAATTTTATATTTTCATTTAAGCATCCGTGATATTCACTGGGATTGTGTTACAGAAAGTGGAGAGCAGAATCAGAATAATGAGTGATCTGAGAGAACTCGCATCCGCAGAGAGTCTTGATGCATTCACACTCGTGTACTCGAACATCCTTGAGCACCAGCCCGACTGCCCGGTAAATATCAAATAAACGAAGCCTACTCTTTGATTTATTACAAGATCATTTGTTCTCAACACACATATAATCTCTGTTATAAAAATCGCAGGCCGAGGTCGTGGAGAAGCTTGTTGGACTGCGTGAAGGCATACCACGAAAGGACACAAAAGAGGTAAACACGGAACTCTATTTTGCGGAACAGATTTTGCTTTAAGCCAATGCAGGTGTTGGTTTGTTACGAGATTTGAAAACAGTAACAGTTTTTTGTTTGAAAACGAAGATTTCTTAATTGGTTTATGTTGATGAAAACAGGTGGTACAAGAATGCAAAGAAATATATGAGAACACTCTTGTAGATGGTAACCCTCCAAAGACAGGCTTTGTATTCCCGAGAGTCAAGTGCTTAGCTGCTTCCAAAGGATCTCTCTGGCGAAAACTCACTTAGATCATCAACCTTCAGCGTTTGCGTTTTCCATTATATGGCGTTTGCGTCCGTGTCTTCTTTTTTTGCTTGATATATTTCCTCTTTGTAAATTCTTTATGTTCTTTGATTCTCATCTCTATTAATTTGGTTTGTTCTTTCTTACCTCTTCCTGCCCTGGAAACGTTTGTCACTTACGCTAGATTATTATTTCTGTAGTGGCCTTCTCGTGAATTTGAATTTTTTTTCATTGGTTTTAGATTTCATTGCATTCTTCTGACATCTTCAACTTTATTTTGTTTAAAATTGATGGTATATTGTTTCTTTTTAGTAAGTAACAAATACAGTAAGGCTTGATTGATTATTTAAGACTATTATTATAATTACGAACATTACAGATGAGTTTGCAAAATCAGTCACTGCATAACACTGTAACAGCTGATCTTAAGTTCTCAACCACTCACGAAATCACATCAGTAACTGTAAACATTATCCTGAAAAAATGTTTTTTTCTAAAATGACTGTTTTTACTTTTTTTCTTTTACTTTAGTTTTTGTTCTAGAAACCTTTTAATCATAATGAAAATAAAGAGTCGTCCACCACATGGGGTTAAGCATAATGCGTGATGTTTATCCGGTAACAAATACATATGCTTTATAATTTTAATTTTATCTTACTTTCTGTACTACTCTGTGTTCATTGAATGAGAAAATATTGGGAAAAAAAACATGCCATGCTACTCCACAGTGGAAGAATAGAAGACAAGTTAATGTTAAATTGTATTGCGAAACAGTAGTAAAAGTCATTGAGAGCATGCCATGCTACTGCACAGTGGAACTTGGCCAAATTTTGTCTTTCCCGTCTCTACAGTTTATTCCACCAGAATTTTGACAAAACTCAAATAAAAAATGTTTCTTTCAAAAAATTTCCCGGCGAAAGTTACGTTGTGAAATACAAGAATAGCTGGTAATTAGTTGTTTTTTGTTGTTGTAATGTAAAACTTATATATATATATATATAAACCTATATTCAACAAAATATTTTTCTAAAAGGGACTTGTAGCGTTTTAGATTAATTAGAGAAGATAGAGAGATTTTATAAAAAGAAGAAAACAATATATTCAAATTTCATTGGTTCTTTTTTCTTTTCGTGTACGTATAAACAAAGTTTTCCAGCCCAATATGTGCGACTAATGCCTAATGGTATTGGTAATCTCTCTGTTACTTTCTTTACTGTCTTATTTTATCCTTGTTTCTACGTATTGTGTGTGATCATTTAGTTCAATAATATAAGTATATACTTTAACGATTAGTTTTTATTTAAAGTTATGGTATTTCATATATTTTGGTTTGAGAGAATCCCAACATGATTAAAAGCTTTTGCAATATTCGGGTTTGCATATCTTACTTGCATTAATAATGTTTTTAAAAATTTGACGACAAAAAACAAAAGGTTTTTAAAATTTTGAAAAATAAGGAAAACTAAATTGGGCCCCATAGAGGTTTGACCAGGAGAAACGGGTGCGGAGCCTAGCTTCAACTACTGCCCCCAGGCCCCAATCCAAGTGACGTCGCTTTCAATGATCTCCGTTTCTCTTTATTTTACTGCCAAACAGGGCAGAACGGGCAGCACCGTTCGGGCAGCTATATTCCTCGTCTTCCTCACACCTGCATGCCTACCCATAAATATAAAAGCCTGTGGAGGTTAAATTAAATTAAAATACCAATAACCAATACTATTATTATTTATTCAGGAAACTTATTTTAAGAGGAAAAAAGATAGAAGGTAAAAGAGAGGACGAACAACACTAATCATAGTTTCTCTGGCAGGCTTGTTGTTTGCGGCTTAATAAGATTTCTAAAAAAGCTGTTTGTTATTATTACTTCACGTAGATTTTTCCCAAAAGCACCAATCTTTTTTGAAATTTTATTAAAAAAGGAAACTTTTGTTTAGATTGGGAGAGAGAAGGAGAGAGAGAGAGTGAGTGTGGTCTGATTGAGAAAAGACGACGAGAACGCCGGAGAATAAGGATGTTCATTTTTATTCAGTGTGTTAATGCTAATGGGGTTTAAGCAGGTTTCATGAATGAGGAATTGATTAGGGATTTGAGCTGAGCTAAGGATTAGTGGTGGGGATTTTTTGAGCTAGGGTTTCTCGGCGGTGATGTTGGATCTGAAGAGAAATTAGCATTGTTGTTTGAAATGGAAATGAGTTATGTGGCGTTTATCTTAGTTTCACTGATCTTACTTCCGAATCATTCACTGTGGTTTGCCTCTGCTAATCTCGAAGGTTTGTGTCTCTACTCAACTCTTGCTTTCGTTTCTTAATCACCTCCTGAATTCGTTCCTCGACTCTTCGGTATCTGGGGTTAAATTGCTATCACAGCGTCTGCATTTTGATATTGAAAAATGATTCCATGGAAGTCCTGTGTCTGTTCTGAAATTTATGTTTAGATTTAATGGCCATTACTGTGAATCCACTGTTGCTTTTCTTGTTCAGATCACTGTAGCAAGTTTATTCTTTTCCATGTCAACTTTGCAAATTGAAAGAGCTTTGCCCTTGCGCTGGAGAGCTGGGCAAAAAGTCTCTCTTTAGAGCTTCATTTTGATCGTATCTGTCAAAGCTTTGAGGCTTATATTGTTTGTGGCTTTTCTGGAAGTTATGTACAGCTCAAGATTGATGTTATTTGTCTCCAATCCCAAAGAGACTTGTTTGTTTTGTTACTTCTCTTGAACATCTTTGATGATGCTAATATTTTTTTGATTTGTGGTTTCTTGTTACAGGTGACGCGCTGCATACTTTGAGGGTCACTCTAGTTGATCCGAACAATGTCTTGCAGAGCTGGGATCCTACGCTTGTGAATCCTTGCACATGGTTCCACGTCACTTGCAACAACGAGAACAGCGTCATAAGAGTGTAAAACTTTTCTACTAATCACACTTTCTTTTTAACTTTGAATCTCAAAATTGCTTTCCCTTATTTTTATTTCTTTCGTCGTCTACAGCGATTTGGGGAATGCAGAGTTGTCTGGCCATTTAGTTCCAGAGCTTGGTGTGCTCAAGAATTTGCAGTATTTGTAAGTCTCACTCATGTACTATGTTTAACATTTTGAACCCCAATGTTTTGGTATTAATTACACTGGAGAAACCTTTTGTAGTTCAAATCTTTTAAAAATGTTTTTTGTTTTCTTACAGGGAGCTTTACAGTAACAACATAACTGGCCCGATTCCTAGTAATCTTGGAAATCTGACAAACTTAGTGAGCTTGGATCTTTACTTAAACCGCTTCACCGGTCCCATTCCGGAATCATTAGGAAAGCTTTCAAAGCTGAGATTCCTGTGAGTGCGATTGCTTTGCCTGATCAATCACAGTACTGTTCATCTTCGGTGTAGACTTGTAGTCCTATTTTCTTACTCTTTGCTGAAAATTTTACATGCAAGAATAGCCGGCTTAACAACAACACTCTCACTGGATCCATTCCCATGTCACTAACCAATATTACTACCCTTCAAGTATTGTGAGTTCTTTCATCAACTTCCGTTTATGCCTGCTTTATTCTCCTTCAGTTGTTTGAGTTAATGATCTTAACCTTGACTGATGAAACACAGAGATCTATCAAATAACCAACTCTCTGGTTCGGTTCCTGACAATGGCTCCTTCTCACTCTTCACACCCATCAGGTTATATTACTATCTTTCTCGAATATATCAGTTCATTGTGTCAGTGTCCTTAACTTATCGGCAACTGAAATTTTCATTTCCTTGTGCAGTTTTGCTAATAACTTAGACCTCTGTGGACCTGTTACAAGTCACCCATGTCCTGGATCTCCCCCGTTTTCTCCTCCGCCACCTTTTATTCCACCTCCACCAGTTTCCACCCCAAGTAAGCCTCCACTTTTCAGTTTACATCATAGGAAACAGAAGACGAGATCTTTGCCTTTATGTGAATCCGTTTGCAAATAAACAAATTGATATTAGTTAAGCTTCTTGATGCGTCTAATTTGATTTCAGGTGGGTATGGTATAACTGGAGCAATAGCTGGTGGAGTTGCCGCAGGTGCTGCTTTGCTGTTTGCTGCTCCTGCAATAGCCTTTGCTTGGTGGCGTCGAAGAAAGCCACTAGATATTTTCTTCGATGTGCCTGGTCAGTTTATTATTCGCGCTAGTTTCTGTTAGTTTATTCGATTTGATCTACTCCTGCTCAGCTATATAGCAGAAGATAGTTAGCAAGCACTTGCCATTGTTTGACCTGAAGTTTCCGATGCCAAATCTCTATGCAGCCGAAGAGGATCCAGAGGTTCATCTAGGACAGCTCAAGAGGTTTTCTTTGCGGGAGCTACAAGTGGCGAGCGATGGGTTTAGTAACAAGAACATTTTGGGCAGAGGCGGGTTCGGGAAAGTCTACAAGGGACGTTTAGCAGACGGAACTCTAGTTGCTGTCAAGAGACTCAAGGAGGAGCGAACTCCAGGCGGAGAGCTCCAGTTTCAGACAGAAGTGGAGATGATCAGTATGGCCGTTCATCGAAACCTCTTGAGATTACGAGGTTTCTGTATGACACCGACCGAGAGATTGCTCGTGTATCCTTACATGGCCAATGGAAGCGTCGCCTCATGCCTCAGAGGTAAACAAGAACAGAGGATCTTTAAAGAGAAGTTTTTTATTAAAATGTTTTTCTCAATGGATTCATAATTCTGGTTACACCAATGACGCAGAGAGACCACCATCACAGCCTCCGCTGGATTGGCCAACGCGGAAGAGAATCGCGTTAGGCTCAGCTCGCGGTTTGTCCTACTTACACGATCACTGCGACCCAAAAATCATTCACCGTGACGTGAAAGCAGCAAACATTCTACTAGACGAGGAATTCGAAGCTGTTGTTGGTGATTTCGGGCTTGCCAAGCTAATGGACTACAAAGACACTCACGTGACCACAGCCGTCCGTGGCACGATCGGTCACATCGCTCCAGAATATCTCTCGACCGGAAAATCCTCGGAGAAAACCGACGTTTTCGGTTACGGAATCATGCTTCTGGAACTCCTCACAGGACAGAGAGCTTTCGATCTCGCTCGGCTAGCAAACGACGACGATGTCATGTTGCTTGACTGGGTAAAATCGAAAGTCCAAAACTTCCATTTTCGCTCAGCGGTTGATCCCAAAATCTAAACTTTTGTTTATGGGTTTTGTTTAGGTGAAAGGGCTGTTGAAGGAGAAGAAGCTAGAGATGTTGGTGGATCCAGATCTTCAGACGAACTACGAGGAGAGAGAACTGGAGCAGGTGATCCAAGTGGCGTTGCTTTGCACGCAAGGATCTCCGATGGAGAGGCCGAAGATGTCGGAGGTTGTACGGATGCTGGAAGGAGATGGGCTTGCGGAGAGATGGGACGAATGGCAAAAAGTTGAGATTTTGAGGGAAGAGATTGATTTGAGTCCCAATCCTAACTCTGATTGGATCGTTGATTCTACTTACAATTTGCACGCCGTTGAGTTATCTGGTCCCAGATGAATAATAACCAAATTTATAAAAAATTATTGAAAGAAAAATACATGTTAGGTAGTTTTTTTACCGGTAAGTTTTTTTTTTTCTTTTTAATTTTGAAATGAAATGAAACTAACATTCAAAGATATGTGATTTTGTGTAAGTTGTCCTGACGGTTCGATAATTCAAATTATAAACATAAACTATCGATTTTTAAGGACTACGGTGTAAGAAGAATAAATGTATAAGACATAAACGACGTAGTATTGTAATGAAAAAATTGAAAAGAGTTTTTATTTGTGAAAAAAAAAGAGAGGCAAATAAGGGTTTTTGTACTCTGTCTTCGCGTTCCACCGTAGTGACACGTCACACCTCCCTCTCCGCCGCCTCGTTGCGTCTTTAATTCTCATCGTTGTTGCTTCTTCGTTGTGGTGGCTGTAAAAGTTGTGTGGTAAGAGAGAAGAAGATGACTAGTTCAGATATGAATAATTCATCAATGGAAGAAGAGGAAGAGGGAGAGATATTCCTTGGTGAATCCGATGTCATCCATGAAATTGATGTCGACGGAGAAGGTTTTGTTTTTCTATTCATCTCTCTCTCTTTCTTCAATTATTCATTTCGTGACCTTTTATTGTATGTATCTACGTGTGTGTAAACTCTTCTATTGTGGATTCAGATCTTCCTGACGCATATGATGATGAAGATGACAATGAAGATGAGGAATTTGGTAGTGACTCATCACCTCTTGTGCTTTTTTTTTCAAAATTTCTTGGAGTTTATGGTTCCTTCTTTCTTTTTGTTTGGCTGCAGATGAAAACGATGACTCCATTCACACATTCACTGGCCACAAAGGTAACGCTTGTTTTGTATTTCTATTTTGAATCACTCGTATCAGTTTTCATGAAACTAAGAACATTTGCTTTACAGGTGAGCTTTATGCATTGGCTTGTAGCCCAACAGATCCTACGCTTGTTGCAACTGGTGGTGGAGATGACAAAGGCTTTCTCTGGAAGATTGGAAATGGAGATTGGGCTGCTGAGCTTACAGGCCACAAGGACTCTGTTTCTTCTCTAGCTTTTAGCTACGATGGACAGTTAGTTGCATCTGGAGGATTGGATGGTGTCGTTCAGATCTTTGATGCTTCATCTGGAGCTCTGAAATGTGTTTTGGACGGTCCTGGTGGTGGAATCGAGGTATCAAAACGTGTTCTTGATTCAAAAAACCAAAAAAAAAACAACACTTTTAAGGTTTGAATCATGAATCTAGTTGTACTTTACTGTGTGATGAATTATCAGTGGGTGAAGTGGCATCCGAGAGGACACATAGTGTTGGCTGGATCAGAAGATTGTTCTCTATGGATGTGGAATGCTGATAAAGAGGCGTATCTTAATATGTTTTCTGGTCACAACCAAAGTGTCACTTGCGGTGACTTCACACCTGACGGTAATCAATACAAGCTTCTGCTTAATATGATGCTTTATTGGATTAATCTATAGTTCTACATGTTTTCATTATGTTTGTTTTTGTCTGTGTAGGTAAACTAATTTGTACTGGCTCTGATGATGCAAGCCTTATAGTATGGAACCCGAAAACTTGTGAAAGCATTCATGTGGTTAAAGGCAAGCAAGCAAAACTCACTCCCTCTTTCGGTTTACATGTTACTACTACTGTACACTAAATGTTTCACCTTTGTGTGACTAGTGTGAAACGCTAACCTTTGATTTCTTTTTGTAGGTCATCCGTATCATACGGAAGGGTTGATATGCTTGGACATTAACTCGAACTCGAGTCTCGCTATCAGTGGCTCAAAAGACGGTTCTGTTTACATTGTGAATATAGTCACCGGGAAGGTTTGTCTTGTTGCTTCGTTTACTTTACTTCTGTTACCAAGCTTTTCACAGGATTGGTTTATGATCTTATATCCATCTCAATTTACAAGTGTTACTGCTCATCTCTAAACCAAATGTTTTCAAAATTTAGACCTGCAAATCCCAAAAGAGATCTGTTGAAGTTGTCTTTGTGCTTCTAACTTCTGTGCATAATCATACCAACAGGTCGTGACCTCTCTGGCTTCTCATACGGATTCAGTTGAATGTGTGAAGTTTTCACCAAGCTCCGCAACCATCCCTATGGCTGCAACAGGTGGAATGGACAAGAAGCTTATCATCTGGGATCTGCAACATTCAACTCCGAGGTTCACCTGCGACCACGCGGTATAAACCTTGTAGTTCTCTTATGAGGTAGAATCAAAGAAACAGAGATTGATATTAAAGACAACAAACCCTTCTTCTCTGCTATTTTTATTACAGGAAGGTGTGACATGTGTGACTTGGATAGGAACCTCCAAGTACTTAGCCACGGGATGCTCCGATGGTACAGTGAGCGTTTGGGACAGCTTATTAGGCAACTGCGTCCATACCTTCCATGGCCACCAAGATGCGGTCCAAGCCATCTCAGTCTCCAGCAACACCGACTTCATTGTTTCGGTCTCTGTTGATAACACTGCTCGTGTCTATGACACATCCGAGTTCAAAAACAAAGTGGCATAGGCAAGTGAGAGAACACTTCTTAACGCATGTCCCAGTTCCTCATGGTATTAGTATCAACCTCTCGTGTTGGTTCGGACATGTGTGATTTTATCTGATGAGATTAAAACATTCTACTTTTCAAATATTATATGCAACATCAATAGTACCTTTATTTCTCCTTTAGCTGCAATGCAAGCAGCTGTGTTAAGTAGCACTAACACACTCACTAATCACTCGATATATTAAATTTAGAGGGCTCATTAACTAACAAGGACTAAGCCCATAAGGGTTTCCAATGGAATGGGCCAGCCTATATAATAACTTCTCATACACGTTTACTTCAATCCTCCAGAGGCTGAAGCATTACGGGTACACCGTACTGAGGCATTACAGTGAGATGATCCATCGGCGCGTGCTTATACTCGTCGGAGAGGTTAAGCCGGAACCGTTGAAGGAGCATGGTGAGTACCGTCTTGGCTTCGATCATGGCAAAGTTTTGGCCAATGCAAGCTCTTGGCCCAATTGAAAACGTGAGGAGAGCGTTTGGGTGATTTGCGGCTCGAGAAACGCCGTTTTCAAATCGCAGCGGGTTGAATTTGTGGGCGTCGGATCCCCAAATGAGCTTGTCTCTATGCATTTTCAGAAGCGGAAAAATAATGGTTGTGCCCTTGGGAATCTCGAGGTGTCCTAGCTTCGAATCTTTCAATGCTTCTCGGGTAAGAAACGATACTGGTCCGTACAGGCGAAGCGACTCCATGAACACCATGTTCATCTGCAAGGCATAGACGTGTTCCTTAACCCACAAGAAACTCTTTTTTTCTTCAACCACAAGTAAATCTTTTGAAGAAAAAGGAACGTTTATTACCAGTTTGAGTTTGGAGAGAGTGTCTGAATTTGGGGTTTCGTCTTTACCGCACTCTTTGAAAACCTCTTCTCTGAGTTTCTCCTGCCAATCTTGATGCAAGCTCAGCAACATCGTTGTCCATGTCAATAGATTCGAATTGTTTTCGTATCCTGCGAAGAAGAAGTTCTTGCATTCATCTATGATCTCTTCAATGCTCAGCTTTCGTTCCTTCCTCTCAGACTCGCAAGATTTCAACATGATTCCAAGAAGATCGTCTCCGTAATCTGTTTCTGATTCTAGTCTCGAATCTACAATTTTCTTGACTGAGTTCTTCATTTTCCTATCTAGCTTCCATATCCGGAAATTCAAAGGCGTAGGAAGGTACCTTATAATACATGAAACAAGATTCTTCAACTCTTTAAGAATCTGAACAGAGAACTGAAGAAAAACAAGAACTGAGCGATTTTACTTACTGGGTTCCAGGGAGGAAGAGGTTAGCGAGAGAGAGAACACAACACTTTTCAAGCTCCTGTTGTGTTCTAAACACTTCGATTCCTTGGGCGTAACTGCTTCCAAACGCAGCGGTTGCAATAATATCAGCCGTTAATCTCCGAAACTCTGTGTCCATATCCTTTTTCATCAACAATTTTTCTGTTTTATCATCACTCCTCTGGTTGCTCCATTCATCTAACATCCTCAATGTGCAATCCACCATCACTTTTGTCATGACCTGATCATTAAATGAAGAATATTAATCAAAACACAGATTAGATTATATATCGTGTATGTATGTCACAAATGGTTAGTTCGATGGTGGTGAGAAAGATAAAACGACCTTGAGCCTATCGATGGAGAAAGCAGGGTTCAAGATTCTTCTGTGGCGAGCCCAATCAACACCTTCGAGAAAAGTAAGTCCTTTAGAGCCGACAATTTTGAGGAACTCGGGTCTTATCTTTGCTCTGACAAAAAAATCTGAGTTGCTTGACAACATCTGTTTGACAAGTTCAGGATCTGAGATGCATAGCATCGGCTCTGTTCCGTCCCAGTAAAGAAACGTCTCTCCTAATAATAGATAGCTTGTGTGTTACGCATCCGATAATTGCAAATTTGCAATACAAAAAAAAAAAACTGTATATTATAAAAGATGAACAAGAGAGTTGGAGAAAGCGAAACCGTATAGAGACATCCACTGATGATAATGAGGAAAAACGCGAGGAAAAATATCATGGGAGCTTCGATCAAGAATCAAAAGCTGAGATTCTCTCTTCATCCTGTTCATCTCGCTTAGGTTTCCGTACAAGATTCTGTATTTTGGGCCTAAGATTCCTTGTTTCTTGAACCTTCTGGTCAAGACAAATGGCCTCCAAACAAGGATCATGAAAGCATCGTATATCTTGAGAAGAACAAGAAGCAAAACAACTTGTACTAAGATAGGACTAATCGGGATTACGATCTCCATTGAAAGAAGAAAAAGAGGGTTTTGTTGTTGTTGTTGTTGTTGGTGGTGTAGTGTCTTATGTTTTACACTAGATAATGACATGCATATATAACTTGTAACCAGTACTGACTTCTATTTTAGACATGAAGTAAGCACAAACACGTCTCTTTATTTTCATTTCGAGAGAAAAAAGTAATTAAATTAGACAAAGTGTGCCTTACATATATGGTAGGATGAATTGAGTGGATTCTAAATTTGTCTACAGCATATATTGTTACGTAATAGCAATTTTAGAAAAGATATAAAAGAGACGTGGAAGTCTTCTAAATTCATAAAAGTACTCATGAAAGTAAAATCCTTTTGGGAAATTTGAATTCACTTTTAGAAATACCACAGTAAATAAATATATAAACAACGATTGAAAGTTCTTGTATATATTATTATTTTGTTGAAAGATTGATTTTGTATTGAAATTTCAGAAGATATAAAATGTCACAAGTGCCTTTCCAAGGTCTAGTTTCTTATTCCTCTGTGTTGTTTTCATATACACATTTAAAAAGGAGGATAAAAACTTTCATATTGTAAATGAATTTTGTTACGACTTAACTATATCCACTTTCTTGACTTTTCGCAAATCCGAATAGAATGTCTTGACGATGAGTCGATGCTTTGTTGTTAAAATATCCCGACATCCGAATCATGCTCATTTGATATTCGGACACGTATGTGTCGTGATAGTTAGCATTTGTCATGAAGCCAAGGTCTCCAAAATATGTGAAAAAGAAATCGAATATGTTATTCGGTCGGACCATATCTAAGAACATGTATAACATGTTTTTTTATTAGATTTCTCTCATCAATTTAGGGGATTTACTTCGAATATCGAGAGGCTGATGCATTACGGGTAAGCCGTACTGCAGGTTGAGACTGAGGTGATCAATCTTCGTGCTTATACTGGCATGAGAAGCTAAGAACAAGCTCACGAATAAAGTGGATTTTGATTTGTTATGTAAATAAACTGTATAATTAAAAAATATATGAAATAGAATTACGATTTTGGTGTTATTAATAGATTTGATATGTTAACTTAAATATATATGATTATCTTGTAAATATATATATATATATATAGCGAATTTCTGTAGTTATCTGTTTCTTCATAAATAAGAAAGAAACCTAGCTTTAAGATAGTGCATATCGATTTTTTAAAATTATGTGTTGTTAAATACTTTCTCTGTTTTTTATATAAGATGTTTTAGAGATTTTTTTTTCAAAAATAGTTGATGTTCTCGCATATTTATACAAAAATTAATTGTATTTTATTATTTAAACTGTTTGAATTTTACATATTCTTTTTCTATTGGTTAAATTATTTTGGAATTGATGATAAAACATGTTTTCTTTTGAAAAAATACAAAATTAAATAATTTCTTAATTTGTGTGTAAGAATTTTAAACATCATTTACTAAAAAAGCAGAAGGGTACAATTTTAAAATATGAGTGTATGTTAAAAATACGATCAATTAACTAATACTCCTTTTGTTTCATAATAAGTGTTATTTGGAGAAAATATATCTGCAATATATCTAGATGTATTAAACTTAAAACACATCCAGATACATCCAGTTACAATGCAGATACATTTTCTCCAAGTAACACTTATTATGAAACAGAAGGAGTATATATTATGATTTGGTGACTATAATCTTTTGAAATTTATGTGGAAAAAAAATGCTAAAGCGACTATATAGTGTGAACTTGGAAGTAAATGAGAGTGAACAAAGAGTGAGGACTTCATTAAAAGCAATGTCTCTATGGATCACGCTTGAAGGCAAGTAAGACTTGATGGAAAGTTTGATGATGATGATGAGTCATCTAAGACTTGTTACTCCGTATCTTAAATGTTCCTTTCCCATAAGTTTATACTACACTGAGATATGCATGTGAATGTTGTGTATGTATGCCAATCTATTGCCAGAGAGTATTGAGTTCCAAACAGTAATTAAGAAAGATTCAAATTAATGGATAAGGATCAAAGAATGTGAAAGCCCTTGAAAAGAGAGAGAGGGATCATGTGAATCCAATACTCACACTCTTTTCATGTAAAATCCCTTTCAATCTTTACTCTCATTCTACTATATATCAACTCCACACTTTTACTTCACCTCTTCACCACGTTTTCCCCAAATGAACACTTCAACTTTCCAAATGAAATCGGTATCTTTCTTGGCGATTCTTCTTCTCCATCTCTTTGTTACTAGTAATAGCTTCCGATTGGATCTCTTAAACTGTGAGTACTATTTTGCAGTTAACATGATTTGTATTCTTTTACATGAGTATGTTATTGATTTGTGCTCTTTTATTGTTCTAGATGTGGCAAGCGGGTCAAGCATACCGGACTGCTCGCACGCGTGTGGACCATGTCGACCATGCAAGCTCGTCGTGGTCAGTTCCAAATGCTCCGCCTCCGAGTCCGAGGCTTGTCCTGTCGTCTACAAGTGCTTGTGCAAAGGCAAATACTATCACGTGCCTTCCATCGCCTAACCCACCATACTCACGGCTCACGTGACCACTTCGTTGACATTTAAAGAGATTTATTTTGTCTGTTTACTGTTGCTTTCCCATGTTATTGTCCTAAAATGTAGCGTGTAGTTTGAACTGTGTAATGCCTGTAATAGATATAAAAAAAAGATTCGGCAATTTATAACATAAAAAAAAACGAACATAGTCCAATACAAAAATGAAAGATAAATAGTATTAGATTATTGGTTTGTAAAGCAGTGAGCAAAGTACAAAATTTGACAAGTGATTAATGTAAGATTGTTTGAACAGAACTCAGAAGATAAAAAAAAAGCTGCTAAAGGTCTCCTGAGGTTGAACATTGATGAAAAAAAAAGCTTCAACTGTCACGACGGCGATGAACAATCTAATAAAATATGATTTCCTAAAGAAGAAGAGGTCAGATTTGATTTTTTAAAGCTGTGTCTCGATTTCGTTGAAGTTCCAGTCTCTGACAAGGTCTCTTCTCACAGCACGGCTTCGCACTAACCGTGGCGAGGCTCCTTCTCCTCTGATCATCAGATCACCTGCCTGGAAGTTGGGTTGTGGGGTTACCTTCGAGGATGATGACGCAGGGAAAGTGTTGGATCTCGCAGCTTGAATGAGTGACTTCCTTGTGAGGCAGCTCGCGATCACGGAGCATCTTCCTTCGTTGTTGTCTGAGCTGGAAACAGAGTAGCTTCTAAACGAGTGGGACGGGCTCTCCACACTGTGGCACACGAGGCAAGCAAAGCTCATCTTTTTTGCCTTGGTGAAGTTATCTATCTATCTCTCTTGTGTGTGAGCTTCTATGTCACAAGAAACACCACTTGCTTTTTTAGGACTCCTGCATTTTTGAAAAAAGCAAAAGGATTCATCAAATTGCATCACAAGCAATCTTTTGGCTGACATTGCATCAAGAAGATCAATGGCAACTTCTTCTCGAGGATGATTAAAAGAAAACAAAGGCAAAGCTCATCACTTTCCACACAAGTGAGAATGACTAAACACTTTTATGACTTAGTTAGGTCTTCGTTGACTAGTGACGGAGGAATCCAAGAGAATGGCACTATGATTCCTTCACAAAAAGCCCCATCTCTACTCTAGCTTATTAGCCTTAGGTCAAAAGTCTATCACCAAACACACATACGATTCTTAACCATATGACACAAACTTCAACCTAGATTGATACAAAATTCTGCTAAAATCCATCAACTGGTTGGCGAATTTTGTGAGATTAACTGAAAGATCCACAAGAATTCAATTCGAAATTGCGCGTTATAGAGAGAGACGGGCGACTCGGGAAGCAAAAGAGAGAGAGATTTGAGATCTGGAGACACAAACTTACCCTTGAGAAAGAGAGAGATTCTTTGAATTGGGAATATGGTATCCGAAGAAGAAGAAGAAGAAGAGGAAGAGGAAGAAGCCTCGCGGCGATGATTGCTTATTTAATTCGATGACCCAAGGCGACCGATTTGGGGGTTTATTATTATAGCTTTAAAGTTTACATCGCGTGGAGGTCACGCGCCGCCACAAGCTGAGAGATTTCCCGCGTGACGTGGATGCTGCCTCGACCATATTTAACCGCCTCCAATTTATTACTATTTTACCAGAGAAGCTCGGTTAAGTCTTAATCATTAAATCCTTACGAATTTAAATTAATCTGGATTCAGTTCCAACCAAATCAAACCAGACCGGTTCATCAGCAGAAAACTGCACAAGGCTCGGCTAGTTTTTGGTTTTTACCGGGTGGTTAGGACAAAGCTTAATCACATTTATGCAATTAGGCTTGTCCAATGTGAGTTTCTGGCTTCGTTTTGGTAATTGGTATTAAGTTCTGCTCTGTATTTAATAGGCCGAAAGCACTTTGGGTCTTTCATTTTTCTTGTCGCTGTCACTATGAAAAAAAAGAAACCAAAGCATTGCATTGAGAATCTAAGGATGGTGGGCTTGTGAGTGGCCCAATCATTGCCCAAGAAATCTTACATTACAACAAAATATTTTAAGTTAATAACACCAAAGAGCTTCATCTTCTTCTATCATTCATTCATCGTCACAAAAACCTTCTCTTTGGTCACCAAACCAAGGCCTTCCCGTCGAAGAATGTTATCTTCGTACCTGCAATATATCAAAAACCATTATCATCTCTACCATGTATTACCAGAAACTTACACCCAAAAATGTGGCACATGATAACAAAACTCTCTAAAGGCAAAATAGTTAAATCCCTTACCAAAGCTTCTTTGCAAGCTTGTGTAAGTTATACCTAATTAACAAAAGATAAATAGCGTTAATGCTTCTTCTGTAATAACACCAAAACGTAAGTTAGAGAGAAAACAAATTTTAATCTCCATATGGAAAAATCAATTTACTTGGGTCGGAAAGGGTATGGAGAAGCTATCTCAGCCGCTTTGAGCAAAACATTACTACGAAAGAACTTGCTATTTTTCTTCTCTTGCAGCGCCTACAGTACAAAAGATAAATTTAATCAGTGATCATACTTTCAAATAAATTTCATACACACTACTTTCCAAATGATTACTCTCACCAGCTTTGCTTCTTCAGCAGAAGCAAACTCAACAAAGCAACAGTCCACACGCTCACCCTTGTCGTCTACAACAAGTCGAACACTAACAACTTCTCCAACATCTTCAAAGACTTTGATGCTGTAAAAATGGAGGATAAAATTAATATAAAGTCATGAAATCACTTGCTCCAAGATTAACAAAAGAGGAAACTAAAGGTGGCTACTTACATATCTGATAATCTAATGTTTTTAGGGAGATTAGCAACAAAGACTGTCTTTTCTCTTACGGCAACATCCTGAATTTTAAACAGCTCAAGTGTGTTAGCATGACTCTAAGGAGAAAAAGGACTTAAAAATGGCATAACAACAAAAAAGTGGATTCATCTTTCGACTTTGTGGCATTAAAAGCTAAGTGTTTCTTCAGAGCCTGACTTATTTTGAAGATAATAAGCAGAATGTACCTCAGGAGTTTCATCAAGTCCTTCCTCTGTCGCATCTTCTTCTACCACAAGGCTTTCTCCTCGAAGATAGTCTTCGTACCTGAAACATCAAAAACCCTTGTCATCTCTCCATTATACCCAATGTAACAAACTCAAGAGGCAAATAGTTAAGTCCCTTACCAAACCGTGTAATCTAAGCAATACCTAATTAACAAAAAATAATAATAGCGTTAATCTTCTGTAGTGGCATAAAAAAAAAAACTCTAGCAATAAGTTACATAAACAAATCTCCATAACGTAAATCGATTTACTTGGGTGGAAGGCATCGATATCCCTTATTAGCCACATCAAGAAAAATCTCGCGCTTGTGCAAGTATTTACCATTCTTCTTTTCCAGTGCCTACAGTTTGAAAGATTGAATCAGCAATCCTACTTTCAAATAACTTGTAGTTGTAAAATACTTTTCATCGTTACTATAAACTACTATCACCTTCTTTGCTTCGTCAGCAGAAGCAAACTCAACAAAACCACGGCCCGTACGCTTGCCCTCGGGGGTTAATCGAAGGCGAACACGAGCAACTTGTCCAACATCTTTGAAGAAATCGATACTGTCAAAAATGGAGGATCATGAAGAATTACTTGCTCAACGAATGAAAAGAGAAAATTTTAGGTCATACTTCTTGCTACTTACATATCTGATAAACCAGCTTTGCGAGAGAGATGGGAAACAAAGAGCGTCTTGTTTCTTATGTCAACTGCCTGAATTTTAAAAGCAAAGAGCGTCTGTGTTAGCACGACTCTGAGGAGAAAAAGAATCAAATTGCGTAACAACAAAAAGTAGCCTCATCTAAAGATTCATCCCCCAAAATAAGTAATCTTTCGACTTTATGGCAATACTTGTGTTAATAAACGCTAAGTGTTTCTTCAGAGAGTGACATATTTTGAAGATGATAAGAGGTACCTCAACAGAGTCGGAAGTTTTATCATGTCCTTTCATCAGCAAAATCTTATGATCGTGCAAATATTCACCATTCTTAATTTTCAGCGCCTACAGTATATAAAGATTTAATCAGCAATCATCCTACTTTTTAGTTATCTACTTGTATATATTATTCCATCATTACTAAAAAACTACTCACCCTCTTTCCTTCCTTAGAAGAAGCAAACTCAACAAAACCACATCCCACATGTTTACCCTCGTGGTTAACAATAAGTCGAACACTAACAACTTGTGCAACGTCTTTGAAGAAATCGATGCTGTAAAAGTGGAGGATTAAAACATCAAGGTCATGAAAAAACTTGGTCTGAAAATCAAAGTGGAAATTTAAGTGCTACTTACATATGTATTATTTTAGTTGTTTGGGGAGAGAGATTGGCAACAAAGAGTACTGCCTGAATTTAACAGCCAAGTGTGTGTTAGCACGACTCTAAGAAGAAAAAGGACTTAAACTGCATAATAACAAAACCTAGCCTTATCTGAAAGATTCATCTCCAAAATATGTTATCTTTCGACTTGTGGCAACAGTTGTGTTATTAAACGCTAAGCTATTTTTCAAGATAATAAGAAGAGGTACCTCAACAAAATCTGGAGGTGTCGCATCTTCTTCTCGTTGAGGATAGTCATTGAACCTGGAGTATATAAAAAAAAACCCTTGTGATCTCTCCATGTATACCCAAAAACTTCACCCAATGTGCTCTTGACAACAAACTCAAGAGGCAAATAGTTGAATCCCTTACCTAACCGTGTGTTCTACGCAATACCTAATTAACAAAAAAAAAATCATAGAAATGGCATCAAAACTCTAGCAATAAGTTACATAAACAAATCGCCGTAACATTAATCAGTTTACTTGAGTGGAAGGCGTGTAGTTTCCTTATTAGCCACTTGAAGAATAATCTTGCGATCGCGCAAATATTCACCATTCTTCTTTTCCAGCACCTACAGTTACATAAGATTTAATCTGCAATTGTACTTAGATGTATAATTTTCATCATCAGTATTCATTACGATAAACTACTCTCACCTTCTTTGCTTCGTTAGCAGAAGCAAACTCAACAAAGCCACTACCCTCACGCTTGCCCGTGTGGGTTGCAACAAGTCGAAGACGAACAACTTGTCCAACATCTTTGAAGAAATCAATGCTGCCAAAAAATGGAGGATAAAACATCAGTCGTGAATCACTTGTAGCGATATTAAGGTGCTACTTACATAGGAGATATTTCATTTCGGCGATGATAGAGATTGGCAACAAAGAGCGTCTTCGTTTGTAAGTCAGGTTCCTGAATTCAACAGCAAAGTGTGCTTAGCACCGCACTAAGGAGAATTGTACTTGAATTCCATAACAGCACAAAAAAAGTAGATTCATGTCAAAAATAACGAATTGCATAACAGCACAAAAAAAAGTAGATTCATGCCAAAAATAAGTCATCTTCGACTTTGTGGCAACAGTTCAAACGCTAAATAAGACATATTTTGAAGATAATAAGAAGAGGTACACGAGTAGCCAAGCCATTGGTACACATTTTGGAGATAATAAGAACATAATGCTTAATTGAACATATATATCTAACAAATAGTAGAATATTTAAATTTCCGAAATTATACCTTCACTGAGATTAAATTAGCTTGATCACAGTTTGTCTCTGACAACTCGACCCTTCCTTCGTTCTGCTCTTTCCTTGTCTCATTCTCTTTATGTTTCTTCAGAATCGGTTTGGTCTCTAAATCATCTTCCAGCTTTCGCTTATCTAATAATTTAGCTTTAGAGGCTGATTTCTTGCTAGAGCTGGTCATGGAGACAATGAATTGAATGACGGTTTATTTTTACAGCAAGGGTTGACAACAGCGATAAGTTATAAACCCTAGGAAGAAGGTACCTTATACAAAAATAGTCGGGTTTGGGCTGGGCTTTTTATTTAAACGCAAACCAAGAATTACAATACTTTCCATGTGTACAAAGTTATGTAACTAGTCATATTCGTTGGTTTGAACTTGTAGATCCTTTTTGATAGAAGAATTTGTGTTCCTCACCTAGCTAGATGTATCGATATAACAATTATATCAGTATAGATATTTATTCTATAATATTGAAAATATTGAATTCCATATTCAATAATATATTATTCTCTTCCATAAAATATTATATTCTATATTTGCTATCAGATATCAATTTTTGATTAGTTTTTTTAAAGTAGCGTTTCCCTTAACCATAAGTACAAGAAAAGTTTAGATTTTTAATCACATCCGGAAATTAATGGAAAAAAAAAAAAGATATGACCACCACACTTGAGTAAAAGCATTTTCTTGTTTGCTTATGCAGAAGACCACGGGAAAATGTAGCATTTAGCTGTATCAAAGATAGAGAAGAGAGAAGTAGTGTAAGCAGATTTATAGATTCCTCTCACTCAGCTTTGCATGCTTAAATGAGTGTACGCTTATGAACTCGTTCCAGTATTTGTCCCCGCGGTTAGATCTTCTAATTCATCAACAATGGCGTTGTAGCAAAAGAAGTATTGATCCTTAAAAGAAAAGAGAAAGATTTGAACAAGTCAGAACGACCATGATCAATACATAAATTTTTGGTAGGTAAAAATGTAACGCAAAATTTGCAAATCTGTGCAAGAGATTAGAAGATTACCATGGTCTGAACCATGCCAATGCGTTGGCTGCGGAATATTGCCACGGTTTTAGCAAGATCCAAAGCAGACATATCGCCAGCAAGAATTCTCTGGATTGTGTTATGTATCGCACAGTATGTCCCTGTTCTTCCAATACCTGCACTGAAATATAAAAAGCAATTCCTTTCAAGAGATAGTTGAAAGACACTTGCATATAGACACACACACACACACACACACATCGACCTAAGTCGTACCTGCAGTGCACAATGATTGGGCCGAGATTAGGCGGTACTTGATACAGTCTTTTTAGAATCTCACGGACAGCCACAGTATCCCTGGGAACTCCATGATCAGGCCATTCAGGATACTGAATATGCAAGACGGACATGGGCTTGTCCTCTGTCTGAACACACAACACCATACGGTTTAGGTGAAACATGCACGACCTTTAAAGAGAGAAATTTTCATCCAATAGAAAGAATAGCAAACTGATCCAGATTCTTACCTCCTTGTAGATAACCTCAAGATTCCGCAACAATAGTGAAGTATCAGATTTCTTTATCCATTTTGTCAAAACAGATTTGTTCCCAAATTGTCGAGCTCCATCTTCGGATTGAAAATAGTCGTTGCACTTTACGGTCTGAGAAAAGAAGCCACTTAAGTTATTATGAAAAGAGTTGAAATTTATAATACTAACATCAGCAAGACAGAGATCTACCATCAAGACTCTAGCTAGCAAATAATGAACTAATGTTTGACAGATTAGGACGATATGATTAGGACAAATAATATTCATTCTCTTCCACTTAGATGTTTAAAAACGTATGAAACTAACATGCTCTCATTCAAATCCAGCATAGGAAAAATAATATATGCATTGATGATTCCAGCTCATATGACTGTGAACATCCTTCCTTATTTTTAAGGCTCGGGTCTATCCATTACCTTATGAAGGTTGGTAAGACTCTAGTATTAAGATAGGTTAATATCAATAGGCCTCAAACCTAAAATTACTACACCCAGGCAAAGCAACACCGATCAGCATTCAAGGAAAAGAAAGCATCGGTGTCAAATATCATGTGACGAACTAACTTTTAGGAATAAGCTCATCAATCATCAAACAAATAAAGCAGTGACATTCCTGTTTTGTCAAGCAACACAGCACCCAAAAATAGAACGACAAAGTACCTTATGATTGTCGACCAATCGAGTGAGCATCACTATGACAGGGCAATGCTGCTGAATTACCATCTCCCAGAAGTCCTCCACCGTGTGTGAGAGAGGACCTTGTGTAGCTATGAACTGAGAAATACTCTCAGAGGACGACGAAGTCTGCGACGCATAAGCCATTGTAAAAAGACCTTTCAAAATCAAATCACCAGAAAGCTTCGGAACTACACAGGACGCTAACACTAATAAGCAATGTAACCTTAATTAAGCTTGCGTTGACATATCCTTTTGCAGATGATCGATAGTCTTTGCATGGATTCAGAACAACCCTATTATTGTCAACTAAAATCCAGAGCAGAACAAAAATCAATATGCAATCGGATTAGAACAGTACACTACCTAGAAAAGGAAAAAGAAATTTACATGGCATAACATCTGAGTATCTGTTCTTCTCAGAATTGACACTGTTCATAGCCACTGTACAGGTTAGCTGCAACTCCGACGGCCACATCCTATTAGCCTGCGTTCGAGTAGAGGAGATTCTCGATTTCTTCGGTTAAGTCGAACAGGAAAACAGATGAAAACAAAAAAAAAAATCGACTAGAAGGATGGATCTATAACCTGTAAATTGGCAAACTCACGAGCGATAGAGTCGGGATCTACGATTTTTCCCCTGAAAACCTCGAGAGCTCGGTGGCAGTAGCTGAGCTGGTCGGGAGAGAGAGAGAGCTTTGAAGGAGGCGAATCAGCGGATGAGAAATCGAAACGCTTAGAGTCGCCGTAGCCGGTGGAAAGATTCGCGGCGGAAGGCGACTTGCCGGAGTTAGCGGTCGCCATGACGGATTGCCGGTGGGATCTAGCGCGACGGCAGGAAGTGAGATTTCCCGTCGTGTGAGGCGGAGAGAAAAGACCTTTTCAGGGTTCGTTGAAGTTTTTTGATTTGGTGCGCTCTCCTTTGACTGTGGTGGAACTGCGACCATTTTTTAAGCATCCAATTATATATATCGATTGCTCTATATGAATTTTTTGGTCGTTTTCGTTTATGATTTGGGCAAGCTTTTAAGCAAAGAAATCCTAGCCTGGCCCTTTAAGAGGCCCTTTACCACTTTAGGAGGCCCTTTACCACTTTAGGAGGCTTTTTTTACACGCAGGTATAAGCTGAGAGGCTCTTAAAATTGCTGATGATAAATAGAATCAACAAAATTCCTTTATAAATTATCGGATTTGTTGAAAACTTAAAACAGGATGTACTATGTTAGGTACGCCTCTTGATTCACGTTGAACTGTTGAAGCCATGGTACCTGGATGAGGTTTTAAGTAGTGTAAACAGATTTGTACACTAAGCCCCTTTATATGAACTCGTTCCAGCATTTGTCCCCACGGTTAGATCTTTTAGTTCATCAACAATAGCATTGTAGCAAAACAAGTATTGATCCTTAATAAGAAAGAATAAGAATTGAAAAGTCAGAATCTGATCGGCTAAAGAAATGTAACGCAGTTATCTCTGTACAAAAGTAACCCAGAGATGCGTACCATGGTTTCAACCATGCCAATGCGTTGGTCGCGGAGCATTGCCACGGTTTTAGCAAGATCCAACGCAGACATATCGCCAGCAAGGATTCTCTGGATTGTGTTATGTATCGCACAATATGTTCCTGTTCTTCCTATACCTGCACTGCAAAGAGACAAATCAATTTTCTCAAGAAACGTTGAATGACACTTGCATATAGACACACACACACAATGACATGCATCGTGCATGTACCTGCAGTGCACAATGATTGGGCCGAGTCTAGGCGGTACTTGATACAGTCTTTTTATAATTTCACGGACAGACACAGTATCATTGGGAATACCATTATCAGGCCATTCCGGATACTGGATATGCAAAATGGACATAGGATGTTCCTCTGTCTGTAAAACAACACCACAAAAAGTTCTTACTTTAGGTGAAAATTTTGGCGTCCCAAAAAAGAGAGAAATTTTTGATCCAATAGAAATAAACAGTAGCAACCTGAAGTAAACAGTTGACCTCAAGATTACGCAGGACTAGTGAAGTGTCAGTGGTCTTTATCCACTTCGTCACAATAGATTTCTTGCCAAATTTTCTAGGCCCATCTTCGGCTTGAAAATAGTCTCCGCATTTAACAGTCTGTAACGAAAAGTCGGATAAGTTAGTATGAAAAGACAAAGTACATAAGTTCATTAATCAACATCATCACCACTGTCTATGGAACATTCAAGACTTGCTTACAAATAATGAACAAATGTTTGATTAAATAAGAGGAATTTACGGTTTAGTAGAACATCAGAACCATATGCTCACAAAAACTCCACCAGTACCTCTTTCCCTTCTACTTGGATGTTTGCAGAAGATCATATTTATATGATATCTTCTAAATCAACTACAGGACTAATAGCTGCCTTGGTGATCAGCTCATAATATGTCCCTGAACGTACTTCCCTATTTGTAAGATTGAGTTCTATCCATTAATATACGAGAGTTTGTGAAACTCTGGTATTAAGATATGTTCATATCAACTGGCCTCAAACTTAAAGCAGCCAGGCAAAGTAACAGCTAAATATCACGTGTCACTAGAAACCTCCTTACGAAGTAACAAACAAATAAGATAAGATTTTTCTAGTTTTGTCAAGCAACACAACACCATATAGAAAAACTCGTATTCACAAGCAAGACAAAGAAGCTTGAAAACCTTTGTAGTAAAATGCAACCAAGTACCTTATGATTGTCGACCAATCGACTGAGCATCACTATGATTGGGCAATGGTGCTGTATTACCATCTCCCAGAAGTCCTCCATCGTGTGTGGTAAAGGACCTTGTGTAGCTATGAACTGAGAAATACTCTCAGACGACGACGACGACGTCTGCGAAACATAAGCCATTGTAAAAAAAAACACCTTCAAAAATCGATCACCAGAACTAATAAGAAGAACACCACCTTAATGAAGCTTGCGTTGATATATCCCTTTGCAGATGATCGATAGTCTTTGGATGGATTCAGAACAACCCTATTCTTGTCAACTAAATCCAAATCAGAATAAAAATCGAAAACCGTACACTAACTAGAAAAATCCCGCAAAAGGAAAAGAAATTTACATGGCACAACATCTGTGTATCTGTTCTTCCCAAGATTGTCACTGTTCATAGCCACTGTACAGCTTAGCTGCATCTCCGATGACAGCATCCTATTAGCCTGCGATCGAAGATAGCTTGATTATACATATATACAGCTGCTGGGAAAAAAAATACTTCTGATGCTGAGAGACCGATATAGAACATGATACTCTCAAATTTCTTAGCAAGTCGAGCAGTGAAACAGAGAAAAAAAATCGACTAAAAGATGGATTTATAACCTGCAAATTGCCAAACTCAAGAGCAATCGAGCCGGGATCTACGATTTTTTCCCGGAAGATCCCGAGAGCTTTGTGGCAGAAGTTGAGCTGATCGGGGGAGAGAGTAAGTGTTGAAGGAGTAGGATCAGCTAATGAGAAATCGAAACGCCTAGAGTCGCGAAAGCCGGTGAAAATATTCTCGACGGAAGGCGTCTTCCCTGAGTCTTCCGCCGCCATGGCCGATTGCCTAGTGCGACGGCAGAAACTGAGATTCCCGTCGTGTGAGGCGGAGAGAATCGACTTTTGCTGGTGAAGGGGAAAAAGGTTTGACCGTTTTGACTACTCTCACTTGCTTTTTTTTTTATTTTTTTTTTAAATATTTAAGTAAATTACAAAGTAGACCCAAAACCCTGTTTAAACCTTCCCCTTTCTTATTCCGAGAGACCCATAGAGCAATACTCGCCGCTTCTCAGATGAAATCCATTTTCCGCACCATTTCTCACCGCCGTCATACCGGCCACCGAACCTTCGCCGATACGGCGGAAGATGCCTACAAATTCGTAAGAGACAGAGGCCTCGACCACGCGGTGGAGAGAGAGAAGAATCTCAGGCCGCTTCTAAGCATCAAGGACCTAATCAGATCGGAGCCTGCCAAATCAATTCCGATCTCCGTTATCGCTAGCCAGAAAGACTCCCTGCGAGTTCCCCTCCGTCCGATCGAGTTCATCCGAGGCTACACTTCCGCTTTCCAGGAGTTTCTCCCCGGAGGAATCGGCATCCATCCTCACATCAGCCTCACGCCGGAGATTCTCAACCTCGACGCCGAAGAGCAATTGGTTTACGGGAGCGAGTCTTACAAGCAGGGTTTAGCTGATAGGCTCTTGAAACTGCTGATGATCAATAGGATCAACAGAATTCCTCTAGAGATTCTCGATTTGTTGAAATGGGATCTAGGTTTGCCTCAGGATTACGTTGAAACCATGGTACCTGAGTTCCCTGACTATTTCAGAGTAATCAAATCGAGGTCACGAGGATGTATAGGGGAATTGGAACTTGTTTGCTGGAGCAACGAACATTCTGTATCTGTGTTGGAGAAGAAAGCTAGAGCAGCAGCGAAAGGAGATTACTCTAAAGGATCTCCGATTGCATTTCCGATGAAGTTCTCAAACGGGTTTGTGGTGGACAAGAAGATGAAGAAATGGATCGATGAATGGCAGAAGCTGCCGTATATTTCTCCCTATGAGAACGCACTTCATCTTCCGGCGACCAGCGATGAGTCTGACAAATGGGCGGCGGCTGTTTTGCATGAAATCTTGAACCTTTTCGTGTCGAAGAAGGTTGAGAAAGATGCAGTTTTGCATCTTGGTGAGTTTATGGGGTTGAGGTCGAGGTTTAAGAGGGTTTTACATAACCTTCCCGGTATTTTTTACTTGTCAAGTAAGCTTAGGACTCACACTGTGGTCCTTGTAGATGCTTACAAGAGGGGAGTGTTGATAGAGAGCAATCAGTTGGCGACAAGCCGTAACCGTTACATGAAACTCATGAGTAAGGTTAAGAAAGCGAACAATGCAGTGTCTAGCAGAAAGAGAGAAGACAAGGGGAAGGTAGAAGGAGAAGTCTGTGACACCGATGCAAAAGCTGAGGATGATGATGACAGTGACATTTCTGGTTCTGAAGTCGAGGATGAGGGTGTAGAAGATGTTGTTGATGATGATGAAGTGGATCAAAACCAGAGTCGTAAGCGTGGTAGTAGAGATTCAAGTCCAAGAGCAGGCAGGAGGAGTTTCGGGAATTCAGGTTCACAGGAGAAGCCACATTCAAGGTCGAGAGCAGGTAGGAGGAGTTTTGGGAAATCAGGTTCACCGGAGAAGCCACGGTCAGGGCGCAACAAGGTCAACTTAACGACCGAGAAGAGGACTCAGATGTCTTAAAAGGCTTGGATCAATCTTTACTGGTGGTTGCATTTTTCAGCTGGTTCGTTCCTTTTCCTGTGTAGTAGCTGACACTATGGCTTATCTTTGTCATTCCCACTTCACAATGGAAGACAAACAAGTTTTGTTAAAGAGTTTATAATTCCATAGTTATTTATGCTCAGACCTTAAATCTGACTACTTCTAGGTGATGGCTAGTGTGGAAAATTAGCAGTACTGAATCTCAGTCATTAAACATTATCAACGTAATAACGAGTAACAACATCTTTCTTGCAGAGCCTCGAGAATTATGTACTTGGTGAAATGGACAAGTTCAGAAGAGTTATGACGAGATGTGAAACAGAACAGAGAAAGAAACCTGGATCAATTGAAGATTAGGCAGTATCACTATGTCAGAACTCAGAATCTGTCTTATGGTAAACTAACCACTGGATAGTCAAATTGACTTAAGCTGTTGTGTAAGAAATTAGAAATTTTTGAGGTTTTATGGGTAGAGTTTGTCATCTATCTTTATCTATTTTGTTTCTGCAACATTTTGGTGGTATTGGCATAAAGTAATAAAGTACCTTGGCTGCCATTTTTCTAGCTTCTAATTGAGAGTTGACACTAATCCGAAATAGTATATCAATCTTAAGGAGATTCTAATTAGGTTTTTGCTGCTTTTTGTTTAAGTTGTACTGTGGGAGGATTGGAATTCCAACAATTTTTTTGCAAAGAAACTAGGGTTATAATATCGGCTCTGATCACGAGACAGATGCACAAAGGAATTTGCTTAAGACCATACCTCATCATCCACCATTCTCAATATGATATTTCTCTAATTTTAAGAGTTTCATAACATGATCAAATTAAAACCCCGTTCTCAGAAATTATACTTCTTCTGCTCATAATAAATATCATTTGGAGAAATTGTATCTGCAATATATCTGGATGTATTGAACTCAAAACACATACATCCAATTACAATGCATGACACTTATTATGAAATGGAGGGAGTATTGTGCTTGTTCTTTGTGTCATTTCACATGGTTCCAAAATAGAGCTCATTACAATTGGTTTACAACAAATGGGTATGAATGGGATTGGTCTGACACGGTTCTTCTAATTACATGCCCGACAAAAAGGAGTCCTTTGTATGGGGATAATATGGCAATGGTATGTCCCAAAGGTTTTTGGGGAACAACTATGTCTGTGTCGGTTTTGAATCATTGTCTTTTTAAAATTTTAAATGTACTGTACCCCATTTCTTCATCATCGTTTTCTGACCCAACTTAGCATAATTACTGTACAAAATAGATAGAGAGAGAGAGAAGATAAATCAGAATGTCTTTTTCTTTGTTTCTTAATGAAAAAACCACATTAAAAAGTTAGAGATAAAGGACTATGGGTATGCATTCAATGGTGTGTTTGGCTTATTATGGGTCAACAAAGTTTCTTACATGCTTTTATTATATTCCTCTTTTTCACCATTTCTGGCAAAAAGCCAATATATATTAATCAGATTTTCAACGTCCAAGAATTATTTACCTCCTCCCATGACATTTCAATAAGCAAAAGCTCACTTGAAAAGAAAAAAAAAACCGACACGAACACAAATCATATTAAAAGACGAGTCAACAACACTCATCAACTAGTTAAAATACTCCCCAAAACCAACAAGAAGTCTCTCAAGTTCATTTTTTTGTCCCCCGACAATTTAAATTATTACAAAACAGCACCCAACTTCTCATCACTCACGTTACGATCATCCAACAACAACAACGACGACTCTTCCTCTTTCCCAACTTTCCTCATCTCCAAACTCGTCAATCTCATCGCTCTCACCGCTTCCCCTTCCCAATCAGTCCTCGCTAAAACCGCATACAATATCGAAACCGCACAAGCCGCTTGCGCCGAAAGCAACCCATACCACAACCCACCAAACCCAATCTTCAACCAAAACGCTAGTCCAACCGCAACAGGCGTCCCAACGAAATAAAACGATCCGAGATTCACATGGGCTCCAACCGCAGGCCGACCAGTCCCTCTTAGAATCCCACAGCCAGTGGTTTGCGGGCAGTTCCCTAGCTCGCAAAGCCCGACAATTGGCATAACCGAAGCAACCAGAACCTTGAGTGGCTCGTAGCCAGTGAAAAGCCCTGCCCAACGCTCTTTTAAAACCACGGTCCAAGCCACATTCAATGCTCCTATTACAAACGCGCATGCTAATGCCACGTTCGCTGCTAGCCTCGCCTTGTACGGTCTACCTGCACCGAGCTCGTTTCCAACCTGCGAGATAATTTAATGAAAAAAACCCCCCAAAAAAAATCAAATCTTAAAAAAGTTAGTTATTGTAGCCAAGCTTTTGTCACATGCGAAGGAAACAGAAAAGGACAAGTGGTTTCGATGAGGTTGAAGAGTGTCATGAGATTGGCAACGATAAAATAGACCACACTTGACTACTTTCTTTTCAACCACTTTTTATTTATTTTTCTTTTTATGTATGTTAATGTCCAATCACATATCACGGGGTGACCTATTAATAGAAGTTAATGCAATATTTTTCACAGCCCCCTACATCACATTCCACGTTTTTTATTCCTTCTTTTCTTTTTCGTAAAAGTTAAAAAAATAAGTGTAACTGATAAACTAAGCAATTAAGGTCTTGCAAAACAACATAATAATAAGAAATTTAGAATTTACACATGTATAATTTGGACCAAGTTGCAATAATTAAGGTCCACGTAAACACTCAGATAAAACCAAACTTATGCCAATAACAAGAACACAAGTACAACAAATCTTTCTTGAGTAACGTTCTCGCCTCTTGTTAATTATTTTCGTACACATTCAAGTTCCGAGAGTTTTAAAGTCATAATTTAATTAATTAATTACTCCTACCCACACTAATCCAATCAAAACCTCAAGAAAAAAAAAGAAGACTAGTCTTTTTTGCTAAAAGACGTTTCACCTACACTTTTGATTTTTAAATTATCAATTTCCAAACCCAAATCAACTTCGTCAATCATTATTTTGACTCAAATCTTGACCACTTAATCATCAAATTAGTCAATAGTCTTTGACTCAAACCTTGACTAGTCGCAAAACAGAGAGATAAAGCGAATAAGACACGTACCCGAGCAGAGACGCACCCAGCTAAAGCCATAGGAACAGTATACATAAGACTCGTCGTCTGAATCAAAATCCCAGTCGCAGCCACCGCAAGCTTAGGATTTTCCAAGTAACCACCCATCACAATCACAATCTCATACCACCACCACTCCAAACATATCCCCAAACAACTCGGAACCGCCACTCTCATCAACGGTCCCAACCCTCCAACCAACTCCACCACACACGACGACGACGACGACGACTGATTCACCACCGTAGTAGACCCATGCAACCTCCCACTAACCCAAACATAGCCCACCAAAAGCCCAACCATGATCAGATTCGTCACAACAGAAGCAGTCGCCACACCAGGCACACCCCATCGCTTCACCATCACGAGCCAGTAGTTCAGCGGCACGTGGAACGCCACAGCCGCTAACGTGCACCACATCATCGGTTTCGTCACCCGCTGTGACCTTAGGTAAACCCGTAACGGCTGAAGCAGAGTATTAGTCAAAAGGTCAGGAAGCGCGTAGAGGCAGTACTCAGCGGCTGTGGCGGTTATCTCCGGGTCTTGACCCATGAACAGCATGATGGGTCCGAGGTTGATCCATAGGAGGCTGATGGGCACGGAGGCGATCAAAAGAATCACGACCATGCGGTGGAGAGAGAGCGAGAGGAGATCCCAGTTCTTGCTTCCGAAGGCTTGGCTACAGACTGGCTCGAGACCCGAGGCGAGTCCTACGAGGACCGAGTAGCCTGTGATGTTGGTGAATCCGATCGATAGGGCTCCTCCGGCGAGCTCGAGGCTACCGAGACGGCCGAGGAAGAGAACGGATACGACGGCGCGTACGTAGACTAGACAGTTCATTGCTGTGATTGGTAAAACCATAGCCCAGAGCTCTTTTAGCTCCTCTATGACTTGAGTAAGAGTTGGGTTTTTATGGGAAGAGAAATCGTCTGATTCGTTTTTTTCCTCCATTTGAAACCGATTTTTTTCTTTCTTTCAAAGATTCGATCAAACAGTAGTGAGTCTGATAAAGAAACAAAGGTATAGTAAGCTCTCTGATAATTTTAAACAAGAGGGAGAGAGGAAGCCATGGGAGGAGAAAAGTTGCGAGCTTCACGGATGAAACAGAGGAGAGAAATGGAAGACTTGAAACAGGGGAGCTAGAAAGGAAAGCGAAAATAAGAAAAGAAAGTAGAAAAACGCAGGAAATAAAAGATCTGTTCGTTTGTCTCCTGAAAGTGAAAGGAGGAAAGCTGCAATAAATAGAGGCGAAAGAGTTAAAAAAAAAAATACAAAAATTATTTAGTGGAGTATATTTTAAATTTTAAATTAAAAAAATATATGGTATCTCCCCTATTTCATAAATAATGATTATTTAGAGTTTACACTAAGAAAGTTATTAAATTTGTATTTTATCTCTTATTAATACACTTAATATTTTCCCCTAATTAATACACCAAATCAATAGAGTTAAAGGTAAATTTTTGTTCATAATTATGTATTGCAAAAATATTAAAAAAATACTCTTAATGAAATAAAAAGAAAACTTTAGAACAAAACTATTTATAAGATGGAAAGAGTATTTATTTGTATTCCAATAACTGATCAAAAGTTAATTAGTATTACTACATCGAATATGGGATAAATGCCTATGATAAGCAAATATTCATAAAAAGCAAAATTATGTAGATTATTAAGACATATTTGTCGAGATATCTGTTTTTTTTTTTATCAACGACCGAGATATCTGTTATGCAAAAATTATTCGTCATAGTTAGTTAGTCAAGTATGTTGAAGATACAATTGATCATCTTAAGCGTTGTGTAGATTAGTAGATATAATCTTTATATTTTAAATTTGTGGTGCGTATAGGACTATTCGTTGTAAAATTATTTGTGGAGGAGACGTTCGTCATGTTTCCAATGCTGCTCATAGTTGAATTCACTTGTATTGATTGATTGATATCATCATTTGTTACATAAAATGAAATTAAATGAATTTTACTTCCTAAAAATAATACTAGGTGGTTGGCCCGCACATATGTATGAGTATAATTTTTTTGATATACATAGTTAATTGTAATATTTAAATATTGATTAATTTTTTAAATATTGGTATGTTTGTATATATATATTGTTTTAATATTTCACAAACTTCTTTCTGAAACCAATGTATTTTAAAACTTTTTATTTTTATAATGCTTATAATAATATATAATCACAAATATAAAAGTTATGTTAAATAATAATTAAATTCTTATAATATTTTTTGAATATTTCTATAATATGCTTTATTTTTCTTACACAATCTATAATATGATTTTTTGCGTCTTACATAATATGAATCTGCAAATACATATATAATATATTTTAAGTATATATTTTTTTTGATTTATTACAAATTAAACTGAAATAGTTTTTACCATTTTTACTTATTTCTAAGAGCGGATAGATGGTTGGTACGCATGTGCGGGT